AAATAACATTAAATGTAGGCTGGAAATTTATTGCCAAGTAAACTCAGTATAAATTAAATCCAAAAGAAAAATAGCAATACACAAACACAGTGATTGTGGCAGCACCCAATGTCCAGCACTAGTGCAAGGATATAATAGTAAATATAAAGTGACTAATTAAAATAAAGTTAAATATCTAATTTCCAGAAAGGAACAGAAGAGAGGAAATTATTACATTAAGGAGTGCTCAATATAGTACAAACAAATAGGATACCAAATGAGAATTGTATCCAATGTGAATAAAATATTTATGTTGGGGTACAAAACGTGTTCTCACTCCTATTAACTGCCTATACTGTGATTCATCACAGTATAGGCAGACACTTTGGCCATATAGTGTACAAACTAAGATCTTTGTAGGCTGTAGCATTACCCTTAGCAGGAAATATCTTAACACCTTAATTTGGAGAGATGTTCACATACTTTTTTGCCATATTGTATAGGTGTAATGGTCAGGTGTCACCCACCTGAGGCTTTTAAATGTAGATTTTACCTCTAAATTTCTCACATGTCATGAGGGACAAATGTATGAGGCCGTGCGAAACATGTATGGTTTCTTTTTCATTTTGTGCGGTTAAAGATGATCATTTAACTGCAAATGACCCAGTATGGGCCAAAAACTTAAAAAAAGACAGCTGATATCTGTTGATGAGGTCATCAATCCTCATACATTTTCCTAGATATTTTTTTTTTTTATATAATACCCCTGAACACTATATGAGGAGAAAAAAAAACCAGATTAAACAATCTTGTTTCTCATCATAAGCAGATTGTTTGGCTCCTGAATGAGTGGTATTATGGAGACATAGAAATGCTATCTTATAATTTTCCGCCATTGTTTTCATACAATGGCCGCTGGTTTTCATAATCATCCCAGTTAATAGTTTTCTCAAAAGCAACAAGAGTAAAACACAATGGATTATTATGTAACGAATAGATTGGCAAGTGTATTGAAACAAGGATTCAGGATCTCTCGCAAGAAAAGTCTTTCGGCGTTAGCCTTACAAAACTGATAAATGGTTTGGGCCCATCAGATGTATTCGTCTATGGCGGAGCATTGTCTATAAGGATGCTTTCCAACGGAGTTGTGCAAAATTAAAGGGGAATTCTAGTTCATAAATGCTTTTAAACATAAACATAGCAAAATTACCTCTGTATATACTATATGGCCAATGGTTTTTGGACACCTGACCATCACACTTATATGAGCTGTTTCCAAAACCATGAGCATTACTATAGATGCCCCCAACACCTTCACTCTGTGGCTATAACAGCCTTCACTCAATTTTCCACAAGATTTTGGAAGGTGTCTGTGGGAATGTGTGCCCATTCAGTCTAAAGAGCCATTGTGAGGTCAGGTACTGATGTTGGATGAGAAGACCTGACCTCGGCTCGCAGTCTGCCTTCAGATCCATCCTAAAGGTGTTCCTTAGGGTTGAAGTCAGGCAGTGTGCAGGCCATTTGAGCTACTCTGCACTAAAGTCTCCAAACCATGTCTTTGTGGAGCTGACTTTGTGCAAGGGGCACAGTCATGCTGAAAAGGGTCTTCTCCAAAGAATTGCCACAAGGTTGGGAGCGCACAATTGGTTAAAATATCTTTGTGTGCTGTAGATTTAAATGTTCCCCCCTTACTTCACTGTTCTGCATCTTTACATATTTTAAGGCTATAAAAGTCATTTTAGTGATTTATTGATGGTGTGAGTCCATGTGCTCAAAAAATGCAGCTGTCCATGGTCCTGATAACTGAATGTGGACACTTACAGGGTTATTCACAAAAGAGTGAAGAGTTTGGAGAAGGCAGGAGAAGTGAACAATCTAGGACAGGGGTGCCCACAAGGTCGATCGCGAACGCACACAGCGTGCCGGTTTGAGTAGTAACCAGCACACTCTGTATGCAGCTTCAGTATCTGTAATCTGGAATGATAAAGGGGTCACTGTTTTAGAGAAGGTTAGGACTGTATGATACGTTAAATAAAATATTAACCGTTCTGTAAGTGAAACTTTATTTTCTGGCAGTGCCTCTCCCGAGAATAGACTCTGGATCTGCCGCTGCCCCCGCGGCTGAAGAGAAGTTGCAGCCCCTGTGCGTGGACGAGCGGCAGAGGATCGGTACATGTCACTAGTATGTACCAATCCTCTGTGCAGGACAAACACTGGAGCGATCAGCTGATCACTCCAGTGTTTGTAAATACATTTCCAATTAAGCTCACTTTCCAGTTCATCTATGTTGTCCTAGATTGTTCTAGATAGATACCACACTTTAGAAGAACATGTACTTTGCCAATGACACAGGTCTACTTAATAGCCTGTCCTCCCTCCCCTGCTGCTTACACTTATCTTGCAGTCACTCACCCTGAGACAAATTTGTGTTTGTATCTCTGTATTGGTGTAATAGGGATCTTTATTCTCACATCTCCGGAGCTTTTGTTCTCATTATACCTGGAGATTTAAATGTGCCATTTGATATTCACCAGTTCTCCAAGGCTTTAAAGAAGAACAGATCCTTGAAAGCTGTGCTAAAAAAAAAGGCAGGCAAAGGACTAGTTATGAGTATTGCCTGTGGTCTCGCCGCAGATGACCTTTCCCCATTACTGACTTGTCTTGTCCTGTGCCTTGTCCTGTGCTGTGTCTCTGCTTGGAGGCAGCCATCTTAGTAGAGGCAGGGCTTTGCTTCCTTAAGTCAGAGCCTCCAACAAGATCGTGTGGGAGTGTTAACAGAAGAGTTTGATCATCCTGTCGATCCTGCCAGTCCATAGCAAAAATTATCTGGCTTTTTGTTCAAAGCCCCTGCTCTCTAAGAATACAGAGAAGATGAAAAAGATGGGAAAGTTTAAACTACATACACAGCGGAGTTATAGAATTAAGGATTTCCTCACATGTAGTACCAGAAGAGTTATCTATGTCATTCAGTGCTTGTGCAGGAAGATTTCCATAAGCGGGAATTCAAACTCCAGATAAGAGAGCACTTCTGCAAAATTGTAATGGGGAGTGATAAACACCCATTATTTGTGGCATAACTAAAGCCATAGCAGCCCCGGTGGCTGTTATGGGGTCTAGGGATGGAAGGGGGGCCCATTAGGTTGTTTAGGCAAATTAAACATAGAACATATGAAGATAACACAGCACTTAGGGTTCGAGTGGTTGCGGTTGGTGGCAACCCTTATGCTCTGTAAAGTCTACAGTGTAGGGAAGTTGATGTCAGATGCACAAGAGGACTCTTTGGGATCTTGGTGTCATTAGTCACAGCTTAGAGAGAGGTTGTCAGGGGGCCCCCATCATATTTTTTCTATGGGGCCCTGTGATCTGTATTTATGCCCCTACCCTTTATCCAAACATAAGGAGTACCACAGCAAAAGTTTATAAGATACCCTCTTCTGGGGGATTGTATTTGTAAATCAAGACTGGTGGGGTGATATCTATATATGGAAGATGTCGAGATCTGAATCAAAATGCATATATGAACTAAATACTATTGGCCTATTAGGACTAACATCCGATGTAGAACTATTTGCTTTTGATTCGAGTGTTAAGGAAGAGACCTGAGTATTTTGACTCTTAATTGAAAATCTTTATAAGGTTGCTTTTATGAGAATTTATTGTGGTATAGAGAAGCAATGGTCAATGGTCCTAGGGAGGAGATGGAAGAAGGACACACTCTGTAAATGTGCAGCATTCCTTCAAAAAATAGGTGGTCCTATCAAAATGCGTTGGAAGTGAGGCTGTGATTGTTGGCGTGACGTCATCCACACGGTGGATTCTAACTACAGAGCCTTCATTTTCTTCCACACTGCCACATGTGCTGTCATTGCCCTGCCATCCGGCGATGTGACAACACTTAGTAGTTATACCTCTCTTTTTAGCATCACGATTTCCAGCCCTAGGACCTAAGGATTTATTATTTACTTCACTTTTATTGGATATACTCGCTTAATGACCACTGGTAACAAAAGATTGAGGCAGCATGGACTGACAAGGAAGCACAGAGAGAAGCTTACTCAGCTGGATTGGTAAAACATATTGATGGGCAGGAGCAAGTTAAGGCATTTTAAAAAATCTCTCTGAGATTAAACTGAGTTTGAGAGACTTAGGACACGTGCTAACTGATATACTGCTTTACGTTCACTGTAAGCTGTGTAGGCAAGGACACAAAAAGATGGCAAGTGGTGGAGCTTAGCCATGAAGCCACACACCAGTAACAAAGTGAAACTAAATGAGAGCAGGGCTAAGAAAAAAAAATGTTGGCTAATGTAAAAAGCAGATATCTCGGGGCTCAGAGCTGGACTTTTAATGATTTTAATGGGGTACAGGTTAATTTTAATGGTTCAGCAGGAGATACCTAAAATAAAAAGCTGAACATTGCAATATTAATGTATATCTAAAGGCTCCTGTATGACAGTTCAAACAAGTCCCAATCCAGTTACTATGTGATGCACAAGTCTCATAAAGTAAACAAAAAACTTTTTTTGCCTCCCCTGACTGAGCCAAATACTCCTCCATTTGTGTCTCACATGCTCCCCCTCCCAGACATTGCAGCTCACAGTGGGAGGGTTTTTACAACAGAAGCAGTGCTCCCAATCCATAAAGCAGTGGGCTGGACTAGGTGAGGTCAGATGCTGACTGAGAAACTACAAGCTTGTGAACCAGCAGCGACAATGCTGATAGCCATGCCCCCTGCCACATCTTTTCAGCTGACTGTAGTGCACACAGGCACAGCTTACATGAGGGTGACAACTCTGCTCTGAATTCAGGAGTAGTGCAGCATCATTGCCACACCTTCACAGAAAGCTGCATTAGGTGGACGCCACTGGCAGGATCAACAGTTATTTGTGAAGCTTTGCAGGGGGGCTATGAGAAAACTTTAAGTGCAGATGCATTTATAATTAAGTAGTACAGCAAATTTCTATTAAAAAGGAGGCAAAAGGTCTTCTTTAATAATTGTAATGTGAATGCCTTACTTCCAGGTTTAAATTCAATATCACAGACACAGTCTGCTGGGAGCAATTCCTTAAGAAATTTCAAGGACCTGTCAGTATTGAAAATGGTCAGACTCTGCCAATCAAGTCTAATCACAGGTAAAGAACTAAAGATACGATACAAGTGTTTGATTGGTCAGTGCCATGTTATTGCCTCTCTTGAGCAGGCTGACTAATCATGTTCTCTGTGTTAAAACAGGAATTGGTGCCCTGTATTTGCATGTCATTTTTTTCCCTTTAGATTTTGATAGATTGGTGAGGGGTTAGACCCTCTATCAAGATTTATTGCAGTCTGTGTCCCCATTGGGGATATTCGACCCTTACTGTGGGGAGATTTTCTCTCTCTCCCTCTCGCATCTCTAGGACAGGAAGTTCCTAGAACACAGGCTCTAGGCAGTTCTCTGCTCTGGCAAGGTTTACTTTAACCTTATCCCATATGGAGAGCATGTAACAGAGATTTTCATGTGTACTGAAACATTGTATAAACATTTATTTACCTTTATAGAATTATTTAATGACAAATTCAATATCCTGCGCTTTATAATAGTTTCTAAAACATGTCTCATGATAAGACTATTAAAGTGAAAGTCCAGTTTAATTTTATTTACACTTTTGCATTCCCCAAAGCTCTCCCGTCACCCTCCCCTTCCTCCCCCGTATTAAAGAAAGAATGTGCCAAATGTACTTACCCTCTTCATGCTCCAGTGCTATCACCAACTTCCACCGCCATCCAGCACCACAGTTGCTTTGCATTTTCCATGAGCAAAGCCTGTGGCTGGCACAACCCCTGAGTTTGCTGATTTAAATCCCACCCCTGATCCACTTATAGTCATCTTAGCCACCGCCAATCGCCCGCTATATACTGAGCTTTGGGCCATAGGAGGAGTATATGTCCTCCCGTGACCCTGAGAAGAACTATGGAAAAAAAGCTGCCCCATAGTTCTGCTTTAAGTTAAAATTACGCTAAACTCAGGAATTAAATCTTAAAAATGCATTCAAGTATCTTAACTATTAACAAAAATGTATCTTATTTGTACATCATTCAACTGTAGATCCTCAAGTCATCTTTGAATTTGTGCTGACAATGACCTTCCAAATCTCTAATATTGAGATTGTAGTCCATCAGGGGAGCGAGCTTGGAGTGGTGGCTACTTTACAACACACACAGGGACCATGGGGAACAAAAGTAGCCACCCTCCAGAAGGAAGGACAGTGTCGGCACCAATTCAGAGAGGATTTGAGGATCTACAGCTGAGTGATACACAAATAAGATAAATGTTTGTTAATTAATGAAGTTATATTAACCCTCTTTTTCGAGTTCCTCGATTTCTACTGGGTCCCCGCATTGCTCTGCCTCCTGCCCCTTGCACGGTGCCTCCATCAGCTAAGCAGCTGCTGTGGAGCCACCTGTGCGTGCATGTTCCCGGCCGTGCCCGCAATAGCTGTATGCGTCCATAGACACACACAGCCCTGCGGCAGGCCACTCCCCTCCTCTTTGCCCAACAGTTTGAATGATGGCAGAAGGAGCCTATGGCTCCTCTGCTCTCAGTATCCTCCCCGCAGCCAAGAAGTTTGTGAATGAGGAACGTGTTTTATCTTAATGCAGAGAATGCATTAGGGTAAAAAATGCCCAGCCTTTAGTAATACTTTAAGGTACTTGAATGCATTTTTAATGTTTGACTCCTAAGTTTGGTTTCATTTTAAGATGAGTCAAGGGGATGGACTTTCAAGAGCCTTGGCATTTTGCCCTCTATGGGAAGAGTGACAGACTCTCTTTAACATTAGGTTGATTATATTTGCATATATACCCAAAAACATTTATAACTGAGTATGTTCACCTTTACATCTTAGAGTCAGCCCTGTGAAAACAAGAGATGAAAATTTCTCTAATGATCACATTCTTCAGAAACTTCACCAGCACTTCCAGGAAGCCTACCCCTCGCTAAAACAGGCCTTTCTCATACTTGATGAGGTGAGTTTTATTTTTCTATGGCATTTATATGGAATTTACAATAGTCTGTCACCTGCTTTGTGTTATGGATATGGGATGACTGGAAGATCATTTTACAATATGTAGAAAGACGTTGTGTATGTGCACTCAGTGGTTACTCTATAAGGTAGAATTATGATCCCTTCAGATTAACCTGAATTTTTCAATTTGTCATAATTTGGTAAAGTGCTGAAAGTGTTCTTTTGGGGTTTTACTCATTGCTGACTTGGCAGATTCATACCATTCCTCCCGGTTTACCACGTGTTTCCTCTGTGTCTGAAGAACCACTGCAGTACTAACCTGTACATCTTGAGTTTACTACAGCAGTATACAGAGCTCATATTACAATAGGTGCTGTTAAAGTACATGTAAACCAAATCACTAAAATCTCATATAAAGTTTACCATGTTGATGTCATTTCAAAATAATTTTCAATGTGTAAAAACTGCAGCTTTCATTAAAATAACACCTAGTAACCCTGCCATGAAGGTCCATCTTCAGGCACTACTGTTTTAGGGAGACAACACGCATTTCTTGTCTGCCATTTGCACATAGGCTTCCAATGGAGACTACAAGTGGTTGTTTCAGCACATAGTACGCATTCATGGTCCACTGTGGTCACCATCAAGAAACCATGCCGCTATAGTAAGCATGTGTGACAGGGTGACAATGCTTGAGAGCAATTTAAAGACATTGACAGCGTGTTGTCACCCTATGACAGACTGAAAGAAGGACCATGTCGGCAGGAACACCGGGCATTTATTTAATGAAAGCTGCAAAAAAATATAAAATATTGAATATTTCTTCCATGCGATTTTAGCAATTGGTATTACATATATTTTAATTGGATGGACCCTTTTACTGTGTTTTGGGCTTGGCTAATGTCTTTTTTTTTCTCCATGGGTCTCAGGGACAGAAGGGCAAGGTGAGCAGGAAGGAGCTACGCCGTATCGTCGACTGCATGATGTTCCGCATCGCAGACGAGCAGTTCAAAGAGTTAATGATCATCCTGGACCCGGCACACACCGGATTCATCAGCTACCACCAGTTCCTGGACCTGTTTGAAGAGAAGGAATCTGTTGTACGTGCCCATTAGCAGCTGAAAGCTGTTTTTTATTCCTCTGTCTGTCTGGTTTGTTATGCGCTGTGAGACTTGGAGCTCACATAACAATATGACAGGACGAATCCTAACGCATTGTCGTCACCCGTCTAATGAGCATAATACATTAACACTGCATTAACCAATGTGGAAAGGGTACTGCCTGGATGCCCCTGCAGTCAGGATGACCAAAAAAATACTAACAGACTAGAAATGATGATCCATTATAAGGGATTTCAGATAAACAGGAAGGGAATGTGGGCTTCCTTTTAGTTTAGTTGGATTATAAATCGGGGAACGAAGACGATTTTGCACTGCGAGCACATGGCTGCCAGGAGGGGATGAATATAGACAGTCCTAATGAGGGCTCGCAGTATGTAGCAGTGCCTGACTAGGAAGATGTAAGCAGCACGTTCCACAGGCAGACAAAACTTTATTGGAAGCATGAATTTTTTAATAAGCAAATGTAGCCAAAAAGTAAAATTAACCCTCGAGTGCTGATTTTTTTGAAATACAGGCTTGGGTCTATCATTGGGCTTCTACGCATTTATTTTAAATTGAACCAGTTGGCTAGGAATATGGGTACTGTTATTGCTGACCTGTTTTTGCAGGTGCATGCTCCAGGCTTGTCATCTATGTCCTTTCTTTATTCAGTGAGTTACATGCCTGTAATAAGCATGCAGCCAGGGAAATCGTGTATATACAAAGCGCATCTCCTATTTGTTTTTCAATGTCTCCTTTGGTCCCCTAAAAACAAAAACAGCCCAGCTTGCAATACTCATTCAGGAGCTGTCTCCTGAGATATCTCATCGTCTCCAGCATCACCCAACCTGGAACACTAAGGAAGCACTGTGAGTGCTGCGTGTCATGGTCCCACCTCCTGAGCACAGCGCCTTCCACTTAAAGTGTATGCACAGAACAGTGCTGATGTTATCACGTCAGCACTGCTTTCTGCATCATTCAGAACCACCCACAACTAGTATATGATCAAAAGAAAGAGGACCCAGTGCCTCACTGTCCAGAAGACATCAGAAAAAGAATAAAAAGATCTTTAGTAAAATAAAACAATAGCGTACAGCTTGAGCGGGCCCCAAGGAGTGTGTTGGCGAGGGCCTAGAGTTGGCCATTGAAATGTATATACAGTACTTGTTCTGGATTAGGGACTTACTACATAGTGAAGCAATAGAAGTTCACATATATCTTTTCTGGCAGATTCCAAGAACCAGATTAAGATCTGTGGGTGTCCCTTGCTCAAACAATTGTGCTGGGGCCTCCACACCTTGGAAAGAGGGAAGAGGAGAATATAATGACTGATGAGGACTGAGCTGGTATTTAATACTTACTAGCACTGGATTCTCTCTTCATTTCACTGACATGACTGGTACATCCTGTTATGTATCAACATACCTGGAGGGCCTGTTCACATGATTTTCAGGTCCGGATCAGCAGACGCGGTGGTATGTGTTTTGCCGCGTTTTTGATGCATTCCAGTGGGGCTGCCAGTATGTTAGCTGCAGTGCAGTGCGTTTTTGACGCGTTTTTGATGCGTTTTGCGTTTCCGGACCGTTTCCTGACCGTACAAAATGTGACATGCAGTATTTTTCTGTCGTAACCTGAACGGACTGCGCACGTGAGAACTGTAGCCCATAAAACACATAGGGATACATTGCGATGCATTTTTAGTGCAGGAGCGTACGGATCAGGTCAGCACACAAAACGGACGTCGTGTGAACAGGCCCGGAAAGTTTTGGAACACTGTGAGTGGGAGAGATGATGATTGTTAAAGGCATTGGGGTATGCTCAGAATATCTGTGTTTTTTTAGGGGTATGGTTTGATGGTGTCAGGTGTTTTCAGGGAGATGGTTATCTACATATTGCCTTAATTGGGTTTTCGTCGGGTTCGGGTGGTCGTCGTGCGGCGGGACTTTTTTTATTTCGACGGGTCAGCGGGGGTCCTGCACCGTGATTGACGCTGGATTACATCGATGGAGCCATTTTTTTTTATTTTTTATTAAAGGAATAGTCAAAAATTGAGTCTTTGGTTTTTTTTTCAATTAACCACTTCAAGACCAGGTGTTTAGACCCCCTTCCTGGCCAGGCCATTTTTCAGTATTCAGCGTTGCGGTACTTTGACTGACGTTTATTCCAAGGTGGTTAAAGGATTTTATCTAAAAGTCTGGACTTTTTACTAACTATTTTATTTAACCCTTTAGTGAATGGGTAGGGGTACAAGTACCCCTTACTCTTTCACAAGGGGGTGGGCAGCATCTGGGTACCCCGATGCAAATAAGCCACCTTGCCCGCAGACCCCCACAACCACTGGGTCAGGGTTGTGAGGAAGAGGCCCTTGTCCCCATCGGCACGGGGACACCCTCCCGATGCCGAGGGCATGTGGCCTGGTAAGGCGCAGGGTGGGGGGGGGCCCCCCTTTCCTGCCCTGCTGGGCCAGTGCTCGGATCAAGAGTCTGGTAGGAATTTCCCCCCCCCCCTTTTTTGGGGGCTGGGGTTCCCCCTTAAAATTCCTACCAGACCTAAAGGGATGCATCCGAATCTCCGAATTTCCGAAAATTTGTCCGTATTGGCAAAGCAATAGCAATCATAGCAATAGGCTGGCACTGGCAATTGTGACAATACATGGGTAATAAATGTGGGTAACATATTGGCAGCATGTGGGGAACACTGCCAATCATGGTATTACATAGACAGGACACTGGCAATTAAGGCAATATGTACACAACACTCTGGCAATTAGTGGGCAACACACTGAAAAAAGACTTGCAGCACATATAAACCTCAACCCTATGGGCATCCCTATAATGAGGCTGTTGCCTCAGGAGGCATCTCTTTGGGTCATGTAGGGGGGCAGCAGGCAGAGCAGAATGGCTGATATGCTCCACAGTGTGCCTGTTGCCCCCTTTCCGGACAGAGTGTCCCAGGTTACTAAGAACCGGGTGGGGAGATGGTCCATACATACAGATGGTCCATACACATCTCCCTGTCTATTAGCAACCTGGGACGCTCTAGCTAGCATCCTGTTCAGCTAATGGCAACCAGTGATGTCACTGGTTGCAAGGTGCTGGGCAGGGTTCTTTGGCTGGCAGCCTGCCCAGCTCCTGGCAGCCAGTGATGTCAGTGGTTGCCAGGAGCTTAGTGGGATGTTCTGGCCGGTGTCCCACTCAGCTCCCAGTAACATCCCTGGTTGCCAGAAGATGCAGAGGTCTCACCTCCCCTTCCCAATTTCTTATAATCTGTACAACGCCAAAGGCTAAGGGCGCCCCTACACAACCCCACAGCTATTTTGAAGTTTCATGGTATTTTGTGACGATTTACAGATGGATATTTGCAAGCAAGCTTTATAACCGCTCCACCGTAAATTATTTTCTTTTCTTTTAACTAGACTGGTCACAAGTGGCTAAATAATACCAAGCACCCAGTAAAGGATACAACCGTTGCATTGTCTTTGGAGACGGTAAGAGATCTGTAGTGTGATCCCCCCTCCTTGTAAATTTAAAGTGTATGTAAACCCCAAATCTATTTTTCAGTATGTTTGGCATCATGTGTCACAGTAACGCAAATCAATGTTGTAAATCTGTTGCAAAGTTTCTTACCTGGATATCACCTCATGTTGCAGGCAGACAATGCTGAGCCCCTGCCTCACAATTAGCAGCAGAATTGTCATCCAACCCTGCAATTTCCTGCAGTTGCCCTTTGGGCCGCCAGTCTGATAGACCTGATAAGGCAGCTCAATGGCCAACTGAAGAAACGCACACAGCAGGCTGACATATATCTGTTATAAATCGGCCCCTTATATCTTTTCCAAAGATATCTGGGCTTGTATGTTCTCAGAAATTGCATTGTGTATGTGTTACTTGGCCATTCTAGATACAAGTAAGGCTTAGCGGAGGATTGTCATGAGCTACTATTTTTTTCTGTAAGTGGATCTCGGGGCAGATTTAAAGGACACAAGTTAATGCAACTAATTCTGTATTTTTGGAATTGTATTTGTACTTAAATTTGACCTGATACAATCCATTGCAATCCTCTCTATATTAGAACTGGGGGAGGAAGTAGTAGCACAAGGAGTCAATCAGTTGTGCTGCAGTGCTCATGTGCTAACAAGGAGCATACTCCTAGATGGATAGAGCAGAGTGAGAGACAGATGTCACTCTCTGTAGCTCATCATTCTGCTGCTTCTCCTTTTACTTTCCAGACACAGCTTGGGGTAGGGACAAGACCTGTAAGTGGTACTTAACTGCAGCTTAGAAATATCAGGTCTCCTGCCCTGCCAGACTGGGATGTACTGTGTGGCTGGTAAATCGTAATCTGTAATTATAATCTTGCTTGTCCTTTAACTATGTGAAACGCTGACAGCTCTGAAGAAAGATGTGACATTCTGCAATCAGAAGAGTTGTAGTCATTCAGGATTACAAAGTGTTAATGGTTCACATGCAGATTAGGAAGACGTGTATATGTAAATTGCTGCACAATGTTGCTGTATCTTTTTTAACAACATCGCGGTGCTGTTTACTACCATCGGCAAAGCAGCCAGACGAGAACCGAGCCATTAAATAAGAATTAATTTAATCAGCCAGGCGCTTCCATCTCTTATGTTCCAAACTATTTGAATAGTTTTTGGAAAAGCATCGAACTACTAAGACTAAGGCATCCGTGAATATGACTTCATTGTGAAAGCAATGTGGCCGAATTTTGAAGTTTGAGTCTTCTCAAAAGTGATGTATGTATTCCAGAATCCTGCTGCACTCCTTACCGGGTATCCCTCTCAGGGTGGGTGCTCGAAGTGACCGCGGATAGCGCCGCCAATACTGAAACTTGTTAAAGATGTCACCAGCACACCATATTGAAGGGAAGAACACGTCTGTTTATGGACGCTTCATGTCAAAACAAATAGCAACGTTTTGGGGCCACACAGGATCCCCTTAATCAGGCTTGATATCTCAAGTTAGAGGTGGAAACTGGCCATCTACGGGCCTATGCAGATGGCCATTGTTTCAGAACGCTGTGCTTTGCATTCAGTCTCAGCGCTACATGACAGCTTTCTGGCAAAGGAAGCACATGTGTTTGAGCAATTGTTTACCTGCACGGTCCAAGGGTTGAGTTTCATCAACTTTTTCCTTTGACTGAGACACTTTTGAAGTAGCAGAAAGGATCAATAGAACCAGCTGCATCCAAAGAAAAAGAAATGCCATTCAAAGCCCTCAGAACAGTAACCCATGCCACATTATGAAAGTGTAAGTATATAAAGTGGCACCCAATGCACAACTACAATACCCAGCAACATACATGAACCTCCGTGCACTGCACAGCACTTGTGTTGTGGTGTGCTGTGTTAAAAAAATAAAAAAGGGTTATGTCTGTTTTTTCCCCAAACTGAACTCTGGAAGCTATAACCAAAAAAAGGCAGGCACAGGGTAGGGTACTAGTCACCAGTATTGCCTATGGTCTGCCTGCCACTGTCTCTCTGTGTGGAGGCGGCCATTTTGGTAGATGCAGGGCTTTACTTCCTCAGCAAGGAGAACAGTGAGCAGCATAGTAATGACATCACCTAATCTCTAGAGACTAGCAGTCCTATTCAGCAGTGCCTTAGCAGAACTCACACTTTGGATATACAGCTATGAGTCTGTACACACAGGAGTGCCTAGGAACCCTCACATACCAGGATGTGCTCTGCTATTTTTTTAGGAGAAATTCATGACAAAGAGTAAATTTCTTCTGGGTAGTGCTTGGGCAAATGTTCCCTATAACATAGCAAATGTTCACATTTTGAGTTCAGTTCTACTTTAGAGTCCACTGTGGTAGGTGGTCTCTTGCCAAAATATGCAAGTATGCACAGCATACCTGCACATTATGGCACACGTACCTGGCTAGTGTGCTCTCCTCCAGCCCTGAGAGATCTACTATGTCAGCCACTGCTCTGTCCACCACCGGCTCCGTCCACTGCCTATGCCATATTCACGGCAGCTTCTTCCGGGTCCCCCATCATTTTGCCCAACCATTGGGCTGTCTGTGATGTGCAAAGTTAGCACCCAGCTCGATTCCCCGCACACTCCAGATGCTGGGAAAGGACTCGGAGTCGTAGACTGCACCATGCATACGCTGTACAGTGTACTCGAGTGATCAAAATTGCTAGAAGTTAGAAGCAGCATTTTTTTTGGCAGAAGAGACTTGGCATATCTATTCTGCTAAAAAACTCAAATTTGTAGGAATTCTGTATTAATTTTTTTTGGGGTTAACTGTAAAAAGAACTCCAGGCAAATAAAATCTACCCCCTGCACTGCAAGGGTTAAGTGCTTTTTTTTTGTCTAGGGAGCTAAAATAATACTTACCCGAATCACAATCCTGGCTGGCTTACAGACTAGTCCCTTCAGCCTGTCTTCTCCTCCACTTCAGCAATGTAATGTCCCTCAGTGTCCTCACGTCCTTTACAGTGTATAGGACATGATGACTCACAGAACCTTGGACCGTTGGTGCAGAGGGGTAGGGAGCCTCCAGGGACTGGTCTTGGAGCCAACCAGGATTGTTGTTCGGGTGAGCTCCCTAGACAAAACTAGGACTTAACCCTTGCAGTACGGGGGTAGTCCCACTGCAAGGGTTAAGATTTTATCTGCCTGGTGTTCTCCTTTAAAGTGGGCTGCCTTAGCTCAGTGCCCCTTAACACCCGATAACAGAGTGTGAACTGGCCTTAAAAGTTTGGAACTAATTGGTGATTGTAGGGCTACATAAATACAAAATACCATCATAAAAATAAGAAAGACTACATTAAAAACACCTTTTAGGTATAAAGGTTATAACGGGAACTGTATGAAAAACACTATAGTCTCCCTTTAAATGCGGGAAAAAAACTATTCTGTTTCCTCTTGTCAGATGGAACATATCCTATGCAATAAGATCAATGCGCACTTGAAGGATGTCCTTAAATCTGTCCTGTCACATGACCCTAAAGGATCGGGAATCATCCACCAGGATCACCTGAAGAGAATCCTTCAGATATACTGCCCGTCTTTGTCAGATGACCACTATAATATGTACGTCATTTTGTTTCTTTTACTGTTTATTGTTATTATCATTATTGCAGGTGCCTGACCAAATGTATGTGGACACCTCTCCAAATTATTGAGTTCTGGTGTTTCCAGTGAAGGGTACTGTTATTGCTACAGTTTACAAAGTCATTTTAGACAATTGAGTGCTTCAAACTGTGACAACAGTTGGTGAAGACCTTTTTCTGTTCTGGCATGACTGTCCCGATGTGCACAAAGCCAACTCCATAAAGACATAATTTGATAAGTTAGGTGTGGAGGTACATTATTTATATCTTACAAATGCATTCAAGCACCTTACCTGTTAACAGTTGTCCACGTAGTCACCCGCATACCAGGTCCAACATATCTAAACACCTTTATTTAGATGCTAGGAATACGTGATAGCACTAGTGGACAGCAATGTTTCGGAACCAGGCAAACCTATGTACCTATTAACAAAACTCGACCATATTTTTGCATCACTTAGCTTTATGTCCTCAAATCATCTTTGAATTGGTGCTGACACTGTCCTTCCTTCTGGAGGGTGGCTACTTTTGTTCCCCATGGGTCCTGTCTGTGTTGTAAAGTAGCTACCGCTTCAAGCTCACTCCTGTGATGGACTACAATCTCATGTTTAGTTTACTAATTTGTATCGAGATTGTAGTCTATCACAGGAGTGAAGCTACAGCTGAGTGATACACAAATAAGATACATTTTTGTTAATGGTTAAGGCACTTGAATTCATTTTTAAGATTTAACTGCTGAGTTTAGTGTCACTTAAAGTGGCCCATACAGAGCCCTGACCTCAATTTCTACTGAAAACCTTTGGGATGAATTGAAACACCGATTGTGAGCCAGGTCTTGTCGTTCGGCATGAGTACCTGACCTCACAAATGCTACTTTGGCTAACATTTCCCACAGACACACGATACGAAGTGAAAAGCCTTCCCAGAAGAGAGGGGATTGGGGTGTGTATAATGTACTCCAAATGAATAGCCTTGGTTTTCACATAGGATGTCCAACAAGCTTATATAGGTGTGATGGTCAGGTGTCCACAAACCTTTGGCCATGTAGTGTATCTTTTACCTATCTATCTATCTATCTATCTATCTATCTATCTATCTATCTATCTATCTATCTATCTGTCTGTTGATTTTTTTTTTTGTTCATTGTCAGGATTTGTGACCAGTATGGGGTTAGTTCCTCTGAGGGCATTTTCTACATGGAGCTGCTGCACAATATTGGAATCTCTGTCTCTTGCGCTGGTGACATCAACGGTGTGAGTACTGACCTCCTAGACAGAAATCAGTACCAGGAGGAACTAAGACAGTTCGATCATTGTGACAGGTAACAAGTACTAAATTATTATGATCAGTCATCGCAAAAGTAAATACACCAAATAAAGTGGAATGTGACTTTTTAGGTGTACTTTTGGGAAATAGTGTTGGGAAGAGTTCCTTAAAGGGATTCATCAGGTGTAAAACTGAATTTCTTTGAAAAATTAACCTTCACATACCCCTGATAATGCAATGATTACTGGGATTAACTTAAAGCTGAACTCTAAAAACACAAAAAAATGCATCTCTGTATTTATTAATATATCATAAAAATCTATTATTTAAATGCAAGCAGTGTAGTTACCTAAATCTTGGTATTAGCCTGTTGCAGTGCCTGTACAGCAAAGCTCAAACCGGGAGAGGGAGAAAGCAGCACATGGAGCCAATCAGTTGTGCTGCAAGGCTCATGTACTCATAATGGACATGCTCATGGGAGGAGAGAGGAAAATGAAAGAGAGATGAGCTCATCACTGTGCTGCTTCTATCACTGTCCAGTCACAGGCTGGGGAAGAACAAGACTTGTCTAACTGAACTGTAGAAGAGAAAAATTAGGACTCCTGCCCTGCTGGACAGAGCTATGTAAATCTCAGAACTGGTTGGACAGAAATAGACATCCTTTGGCAAGAAGACCATCTCATCTGTGTATATGGCTGTTTCCCTGGAATTCAGCATTGAAGTCCTAAAGCCTACCCTCCACTAGTTCCATTGCTGTCATTCATTTTATGTTGTTCCATTTCTTTTCTGTATTTTTTTTACCTGTGATCCTGCCAGTAATAGGCTATTCCTCAACTTCTTGCCCAAGGGTGACAACGCTTTCTGAGCATCTCCCTATGCAGGAGCAGTGTTGTTACCCTAGAATAAGAGCTCCCATATAGAACTACAAGCTGATGTGCTGACCAGGATAGCTGGATATCTGCTGTCCTTCAGTGAAAGGAGATATTTACCTGCGTGTATGGCATAGGTAGACACAGACAGCTAAAGTGTTCAAGGGCAACGAGTCGGACATACACGGTACACAGACTTGAAACCTTAAAAGTACATTTTGAAAATATTTAAAGTGCATCTATGCCCGATATGAACAGTTAAAGTGATATTAAAGGCAAAAAATGTTTTCCCCCCCCCCCCCCCCCATGTAAATGTTAGCACTTACCTTAAATGATGTCTCTTTTTCCGATCTTCCTCTTCTTTCCCCATGTTTTCATGTGTCCCTCCAGCGGTGTGACGTCACTCCGATCCAGCGCTGACTGCTCTGTCTCTCCGATCCAGCGGTGTCTGCAGTCGGGTGCACGCGTCCATACACTTACCTTGCGTCTCTGCTCGTCTCCCGGCCGAGAATCGGAACTGCGCATGCGCCCGCCCCAAGATCCTTTGCGGCCGTACAACCAGTTCCTGATTCTCGGCGCGGGAGCGAGCAGCGATAACGAGGTAAGTTTAAAATGATTTTAAGCGTTTTTGGTTTTTTTTACACTTCTTGCCTATATCTACTGCTTCCTAGCAGTAGATATAAGCAAAAAAAACCGGAGGGTTTAGAACCCCTTTAAGTATTTACATATTACTAACAAAAAGTGAAACTATGATAGAATTGATATATGGCTTGTTGATGCAACAGAAAGTGAGGATACATTTCCCCAAGAGGACAGACGACAGAAAACATTTAACAAAAGCCCTGGCCCCGCTCCATGCTAACCAAAACATCAAAAAATAGAGACAGGTTCTCTTTAAAATCTGAACAGGTAAAGACACCATTCAATACAGTAATGCATTTTAAATGTGTAAGTACCTCAATCTTTATGGATATCATTCTCTTGTAATCCTCTGCACTCAAAGAAGACAGAGATGACCTGTTGCTCTTGCTAGTCTGCTGTTGCTCTTTTCCTGCTCAATCACAGGCTGAGCAAGGGGAGGGGACCACATTGGAATGTTTAACTTCAGTACAGAAAAGTGAGGTCACTCACCTGACTGTTTTGTCTGGAAGGGCTTTGTAAATCTGAGGACTGCTTGAAGAAAATCACATATTATTTGACCCTATATATTTTAGCTGTTTGGTTGGTGTTCAGTTTGAACTCTTCAGCAGCTAACAAAAACTGAAATACAAGATTTAGGTGGCTGTCCTTTTAAAAGACTGTAGTTAATAAAGGCAGTGCATTCTTCTATACCATCCACAGAGCTCCAGCTTATTGCTGTTTGCACAATGACGGTCTGCTTTAACTTCCCTTTATATTGTATGTTTTACTTTGATATGCACCAAGGGTTTTCAGTGTACTCTTCCTAACGCAAAAGTTTAACTTCCTTTTTATACTCTTGAAAGAATGAAGGGGATTGAAAGCCAAGCAAGCAATATGGGGAAGAAATTTACTGTGGACGAGGTGATCGACAAGCTGAGACAATGCATGACAAAGAACGGATTTACCATCAAGGAAAGCTTTCTAGCCGGCAATAGGCAGCCAGATGGAAAAGTCTCCAAGAAAGATTTCCGAAAGGTAAGAGTTATCTACTGCACACTGCTAAAATGTGAGGGCATCATCCAGTCATGTCTCCCATGTGATAGATGGGGTCATGCACAGCAGTACAGTCTGCACAGGCAGTATTGGCTTCATGTATAAAACTTCTGCCGAGCCTATAGCCGGGTGAATGCCGTTTGCATGGCACTAGCGCCCCTACATAGTGCTGATGCATATAGGAAATTCATATATTCGTCTAGAGGCATCAGTGACATGCGTACGGCATCCATCCAATATACGTTATATATGTGAAGCCCCAGTGGCGGACTTAAGGAACAAAAGGCCCCGGCACAAGATTTTCTAGATTTTCTCTTGCCCCCTCACTCTGCTCAGAAGCCCGTCGGACCATGTAACAAGCCCCTCCCCCTTAGTTCAGAAGCCCGTCGGACCATTGTACACCCCTACTCCCTATCCAACGCATCATCTATCCATCATCGCCCCCGAGTTGGTTCTTCACCATCTCTTCCGCCTGGGCCCCCTCATCGCACTGCAATCATCCCAACTGAGAAGCGGAGCTGTCCAGGAGCTCTGCATTGCCGCAGACACCCACCTCCACCGCACTCAGGAGGAACGCGATTGCTGACACTTCGTTGGCCGGAGACTATGGCACAGGAAGCAGAGACTGCAGCTGGTGCACATGGTGCTATTAGTTCGTCGGACCAGTGCTTCCTCCAGTGGGGGCCCAGCCTCGGGCCCTGGTGCAGGCGCACCGGTGGCAGGTCCACCCTGTGAATCCCTGTATCTGCCCTTGACATATGTTATCAATCTTGTAGGGCTCCAATTATTGTTACTGCAGGACCCTGAAATTGCTAGTCTCACCTGTAGATGTGGTCGGGGTGGATCATTTGATACACATTTTTGCAACAGTCAATCATAACTTGCTGGAAACCAGAAAAAAATAAGTGTTTGATTCTTTCATCCCGGTCTAATTCTCAACGGTGTATCATCTGTCAAATCCGTTTAATGATGACATGTTACATAATAGCGATTACAGGTTGACTCGGGGCTCGTGCTGATAAAAAGGCCTATTCACTTGTGCTGCTAGACTTCTTAGCACAATGAGAACAGTGTCAAGTTGTTAATGAGAGATTTTTCATTCTGTTAACACCTCCCGGAGCCCCACAAGCCAGAAATCATCCTCTTTACACACTTTGCAATTAACACATGCTGGAGATATACAGAAAGGTATCGACGACTGCTTTTCTGTGTTAGATGGCAGTGCTGTCCAAAAAAAAAAAAGAGAAGCATTTTTCCCCAATTACTGCTAGAGATTGGGCTGTTTACTGTGTGTTTTCTTATTCTGTGTCTAGACAAAATCTTTTATGATCCACATAAAGGACCACGATGTAGATATAAAAAGGAGATTTTTTAAAAATGTTTTAACTGGAATAACTCTTTTGCTGCCATGGCTTTTGTTTTTTTTTTTTGCACAAGTTATAATCTACATTTTAGGCCTGAAAATTACTTTAAAACCCCTAAAGATTATATATTTCCTGAAAGCCAAGACCCTGTAGAATAAAATGATAGTTGCAAATTTTTACATCACATGATATTAGCACAACTCTTTATAAAACCCAAAATTTCTGTAAAAAAATACACTTGTAAAAAAATACATGTTAATTTTAGTGCACAAAAATGTGATAGCATATTAGGTGGTGACAGATTCTCTTTAAGGTGACATTAGGGGACTTTTGGGCCCCTAATGTTGTCTTTGCATGTCAAAGAAGCTATTTAGGAGCAGAAAGTGATGCTTAGCACTGCTTCAGCTTTGTTCGCTGGTCCCTCTACCTGCTTCTTTCCTGAATCCCAAGAAGTTGGTCCCGGCCTGCAGGAGGGGCAGCTGGAAGGGCAGGACCATTTTATCGACCTGTGGAAGCTCACCAGAATCACTTCAAGTGTAAAGCTGACAGTCGGCTTTTCACAAGTAAACAGCTGCCGGGTGCACATTTACAGGGACCTGCAGCCAGTGTCATAATGGAACTTCTAATCCACAAGGGACAGAGCAGTCTCCAGCAGCCATCCATCTACTAGCTTGGACAAGGAGGAGGGAGGGAGCAGAGGGTAGAGGCTTGCTTTGCTATGGTATGTGCTTGTGGAGACACAACCAGCTTTCTAGCACACACAAGGGTGGCTCCCATAGGACCCTGCAAAGGAAAGAAGCCACCGTAACACAGGATATCAGTGCCAGTGCTCAGGGGTCAGCTAAATCTGTAGGAAACTAAAACTTGTATACATGAAGGAGTACCATCCATTGGAAGTGATTCAATCAGCATTTTAAATAGTTTTAAAAAACTGTTTGACTTTAACATCACTTTAAGTACAGGACTGAAAGAAAAAAAAAAACACTTTGGATGGAGAGGGGGAAGAGTTAGACCCTTTGTCAAGTATTTATTGCTGTTTGTGTCCCCATAGAAACACTACCTGTCCCATGACTTCAAGGACATTGTGTTGTACTGAACTTCCTGTTTCTGCTCTCTGGATTTCACACTCTATATTTAGGGTAGGCATCCTTGGAGCTCCAGCTGTGATAAAACAACAACTCCCATCATGCCTGCAATACCTTGTGGGACTCGTAGTTCCACAACAGCTAGAGGGCCAAGGCTGCCTATCGCTCATCTACGTACTTATTTGGAGAAACCAGTAGTACCTGGGGAATGCATTTGAAAGAAAGAAGCAAAACAGGAAGTTCAACGCACCATAAAACCCTAGGTGTCACTAGGACAGCTCATATGGGGACTTAAACAATAACAACAACCTTCCCCAATAAATCAAATATTAAAGAAATATAAACATAGAGTGTTATTCTGCAGCTATCCAGAGGAAAGTGTTAAATTGAGAAATTTTCTACAAGCAAGTCCATTTTTAGAAGATGATTAAGTCAGTAAATTTGCATATTTACCTGCGTGGAACATAAGCCAGTACATATGTGTGCTTCGATTCAAATTATTTAGGACTAAATTAACAAACTCTACATTTTTCTTCTGTTGTTTATGAGGAAAATATTCCCCCTGCTGTCACGGGCCTCGTTTTCAGACGCCGGCTGTCATTCAAGTAGTTAAATCCTCTGAAATAATTACTTACATTTCATCTGTCAAGTCTTGGTTATGTAAGTCATTTCCTTCCCCAGAGAAGATGAGATTTTTTTCTGCGAGACTCGACTGAAACTTCTGAAAGAAAAGAATAAAGTTCTGGAGTTTTGTGCTTCCCCATGGCAGTATTTTTTCCCAACTCCAGCGCCATCTCCTTGGAGAGCTCGCCCCATTCATTAACGTGCTTGCGATTTTTCGTTTTAAGACTCGGGTAGGTTTTATATCATGGATCCTGTGCTGTAAATTTCTTACGCAAAGCCGACGCTATTTGACAATCTCCAACTTAGAAAGTGACATATCTGCAATAACTGCTTGTACCTTCATCTGTAGCTTCTCTCTCCTCAGGTTCTGCAGGATCACCAGCTGCATTTGGATGAAGATCAGTTTAACGCTTTAACCAAAAAATTGGGATTTACAAAAGACGGTCTTAGTTATCTGGATTTTGTCTCATTGTTTGAAGGTATAGAATTAACCCAAAATCAATTGTTTATAGCCAGGCTCTAGGCAGGTATAAAAGACATAAACAAATGCAACTCTTTTTGCTTTATTTCGTAAAATGCAAGCAAAGGATTGGGTAACAATCTCACAAGCACAAATGTTTCCTTTACCAAATGTCCTTGCTTATGTGAATGAAAAGCAGAAGATGTAAGAATATCGACCAGGCCAAATTTTTCAAGCCTGCCCAACTGATTGTTCTCTAAGAGAATGGTTGGCTGGCAGTATTATGGAGCGCCCATAATAGAGATCATTACCCATTCCACCTAGAAATGGGCAACAGTCAGTATGTAATGGTAGATTCAGAGGCCACTTTATACTCCTGTGGGTACAGGGGGGGAAGGGTGCATAATAAAATCGTTTACATAACTGCTCATGTCAAAGCAGACAGTGTGGCCATGTCAATTGCTACTGTAGTTACTGTAATATTTGGCTGATTGTTTCATTATTATCATTAAACGTGCACTAAAGTTCAGTTCCAGGCAAATAGATGAAATGTATACAGTATATGGGCACTGTTTACCTGCAAATTATTAGATTTACATCCATCCAGGTCTGAGATTTACTCAGTTTTGCCAGCCTGCCTGGGAGTGCATGAAACTTAATTTGTCTCTGCTGGAATTAGGTAACAGTTACAAATCCCCCACTCCAGCCAGTGAGTGGACAGCAAAAAGAAAAGCAGCAGACTGATGAGCTCATCTCTTGGTCATTCTGCTCTCTCCTCCTATCAACATGTACCTTGTTAGCACAATTGACTCCTTCTGCTGCTTCTTCCTCCCCCAGTCTGAGCTCTACTGAGGCTGATACCAAATCAAATTAAGGTACTTACACTGCTTGCATGCTAAAGAATACATTTAATGATATATTAGTGAATCAGTGCCTTTTATATCTACCTGGAGTTGGCTTCAAATTTGATCTGTAATTTCACAGCATTTGTTAAGCAAAAAAAGTGTACATTTTTATATTGTGTCTTAATGGATTATTTATGGCCTCAGTCCCATCAGGAAATGGACCTGGAGATAAGTTGCATAGCAGCCCCAACCATCGTGTTAACAACTCCAAGTTCCATTATATGACAGCAGAGGAGTGTCTCAGCCAGTTCCCGAGCAAATTAAGGGAAGGCTATGGGGTAAGTATGAGTGATTCATGAGATGCAGGCCATGTACAGAACCTAGGTTCCTATTGGAAGGTTCCCAACTAAGAGGCATTCTCTAAGAATGCAGAGATTATATTCTACATGTAATTTGCTTAGAGATGCCATTTAGTTTAGAGCTACGCAAGTACATCAAATGCATCAATGCCTATTCTCAAATAGAAACTGTGCTGTATCAAAGTTTGAAAAGGGTTGTGTAATAAAATGAGAAAAACATGAAAACACTATTGACACATTGTTAGAGGAAAAGATGTGTAATTCCAATTCTTCAATTTTAATAATAACATTTCAATTTCAAAATATAATTTCAGCATTTACTTTAATATATTCTTTATTATAACTTACACCAATTTTTCTCAACCTTTTATCAGTCATGGCACCCTTTAAAAGTATGGAAAATCTCGAGGCGGCCCATCCCACCAGAGTCCCACTTTCACATTAGAAGCCCCCCTTCACATTGGGAGCCCTCTTTACATCAGGAGCCCCCTTCACATTAGGATCCTAAGTCCCCCCTTCACATCAGTGTCCCACTGTCCCATTAGGAGTTGCACCAGTAGCAACATAGCAGAGAGTGAGCAGGCCTGGATGGAGAAAGACTTCTGTCCTTTTATGAAAAGATCCTACCGAATTAGTGTCATCCATTTACCTGCACAAAGGAAAGCGTACAATTTCGAGGCACCCCTGAGGAAGTGACCCTGGCTGAGAAAGGCTGTCTTACACATGTTTACAAGCTTGCTCTTTCATAGTTTTTGTATTTTTTTTGTATTTTAAGCAGACCTTGTTTCAAAAGGCAAGCATCGTTTACTAGATGGACCCCCATACCTCAATAAAGAAAATGCTCCAAAAAAAAAAAATACTTACCTACTACCCCTGCTTCTGCCTATAGCAAGGGTAGTATACCAAGGCTATTTTACAGATACAAGGACCATAGGGAACAAAAGTAGCCACCCTCCAGAAGGAAGGACAGTGTCAGCACCTATTCAGAGAAGATTTAACTCCTGAGTTTAGTGTCACTTTAACTTGGCCAGTAGTAGTAGAATGGTGGCCCAAAAATTGATCTACACAGGGGCTCCTTGGTGACTCTGTCTGCCACTGGGATTAGGGTTATAGCTAGGGTAAGTGTTGGTTTTAATTATCAACAAAGTCATTGATCCCCATGTCAGTGCTGGCAAAGCTGCTACCTAAGTAGCCCACATGGCAAAATTTAGGACACCCTTGGATGGAGTTTCAGTGGCAGACAAAAAAATTAATTTTTTCGCTGAGTCAATTTTAGGGCAGTCACTTCACTGATTCTTAGTGCTAATGAGGCCCAGTAGACTGAAAAAGATCTGTCCACAGGTTGTTGGCATTGGTTATATAATGCTTTTAAAACTCGGTAGTACATCCACTCACAGGTGTGACAGATATAAGTGGAGGTTATTCATTAATTTCTCCCTTTGGAAAGTTATTTGTATACATTCATATTTGTAACTCTACACACTATAGTTTAGTATGTTTAGAGACTTACCCATTTGATTCTGCTACATTTAGGACACATACACTGCTTTCTATAAAATGGACAGTAACCGAGATGGCATATTGACAATGCATGACTTCCACCGTCTCCTGGACAGCTTCATGTTCATCATCACCCAGAAGGAGTATGAGCGTTTGCTGGGCCTGCTGGGTCTCAATCTAACCTCCAATCTGAATTATACGGCGTTCCTGGACCTACTACCAAGACAAGAAAGAGAGGGCTCTCCCCCCTGGCTAAACTCATACAATACGTGAGTATTTTGTGGATTCCTCTGTCTCCATGAAAGAATTCATTATTGTATAGTGAAGGTCAACCATTTTGTCCTTATTACGCCGCCAGATAATATCCAAAAATAAACAGAAATGCCAAAACTGTTCATTATTATACATATCCTAGTCAGTTCCTGATGGACATACAAAAATCCCACATGGTGGTCAGTGAAACTGGCTTGCGTATCAGGTGTTGACCCGACACGTTTCGTTTTAGTGCTTTCTCAGCACAATCTGATGATAATAAATACAATTAAGTTATTACATCATTGATAAAGTTAAACATATTTTTAGACATGTGTATAAACATATTTTTTAACCACTTACGGTGGCGATCATCCCAATGGACATAGCGCATCCCAGTACATAATCACCCCACTACTTACCAAGCATCAAGTGCTAGGGGGATCAAGTGCTCTAGGGCAGGGAAGGAGAGCCGGATGCATGACAATCCCCTCTCTCCTCCATTCCAATCTCTGGTGGGGACACCGGAACCAAAGAAGAGGGAAGAGGCATAATAGGACCCAGACTGCCTTGTCTTTCTTTCAATACTACTGTACTTTCCACTCCTCCAGGGAAGCAGGAGGCTTAAAAGATATATATAGAAAGGGATGCATGGAGACAAGCTGGAGTATAGGAGTGGGTACCACTGATGCCCTTTTTAGCCAAATGCTTCTTAAGGCTAGAAAAATCTGCCTCAATATTTTTGGAATGTCAAAGAAAACAAGTGGAACAAACTTTGTACTTTGCTTTCAATTTGTGTTATTCTTGAAGCAACCATGTGTTTTTTTTATCTAGGGCAAAGCAACAGGTTCACTTTAATGCTTTAACATTAATACTTTTCTTCGCTGCCCCAAAACTCCATTCAGACTTCAGAAGAACTCCCTCCCCTTCCTCCACGTGACAGCACTGGTGCTCGGTGATTGGCCTAGTGCTGTCCAATGTTGGCAAGGAGGCAGTCCTCAGCTTTGTATAAGCTTTGACTAGACTGTGCTTCTGGGCAGCAGACTTAAAAGCAAACTTTTTGCTTTGGCAAGACCTCTGCCATTGCTGACCTTTACTTTCATAATTGCTAGTTCGCTCAGCAGGGGGGAGGAAAGGTTTTGCTGATTAGAGAGCTTCAGCTATGACTTACTAGAGTTCAGTTAGGCTTTAACTCACAGTATTTGGTTTGCATATATTTATGTCTGCCTGAAGCTTGCTTGGCTCTTCAGGGGCCGTTCCTTCTGAAGAGAAACAAGGGAAAGAATACATATTAACATGGTGCCTGTGGTGTAGGGTTGGGAAGTTTGCACACTGCAGACACCTGTTTGAAATAAAATTATCATTAGATCCATCAAGAAAGTACTGAACTGAACCTATTTGCAGGTCTTCTTTTTAGTCATTTGTCCACACTAGCATTAGCCTTTATTCCGTTGCACTTTCTTTGCTGAGCTCTGCTATGTTTTACCAAGGAACATTTTATACAGGGAAAACCTATAACAAAGGATTACCTGAGCATTGTCTAAAGAAATAGTATAGCAGGGGCTGAACTTTTGACATTCTGTCTCAAATTATAATTTCCATTGGAGATAAACAGATTTAGGGGAAGAGTCACTGCTCTGACTTATTCACACATGTGTGTACATTGCAGCTCGAGCTTCTGGGGTCTGTTAAGCAACTAGCTTTTTTCAACAGAGTAGCTAAAACAACCTAGAAAATGTGAAAAGGAGCCCTCATAGCTATAGCTGTGTATGAGAACACAAAAGATTCATATGTAATATTTCTTACTTCACTAACAAAATACTTTTAAAATGGGAGTCCAAAGTAAAGAAAGATTTGTACAAATATACAAAACCAGTGTTTATTATTACTGCCTTTGTCATTGGACATGAATTCTGTTTTCTTCTCTCCAAGGCTGAAACAAAGCCAAGACTGGGCAGATTTGGCCTGCGAGCAAACTCATTACTATCTGGTGACAAAGGCACAAAGCAGATGGCATGACTTAGCGAAGGTAAACCATGTGGCATGAATTCATCGTTTGCAAGTTCACAGCGTCCTCAGCATCAGCACCACACATCTCTGTTCTGACACCTTTGTGTCAGATGTCCTCTCAGCACCTCCCATAAGCACATAACACAGAGGCTGTCATCGCCATCATTGACATGCTTTATGGAGGTTGCAGGATGGTTTTACAAGAAATCAGTCATGAGAAGCCTCAGACTGCAGTTATCTTCTGACTCTCGGGCTGCATACTAGGCCTAGTGAAGTTAATACAATGCTATTTTGTGTCATTGTGTGTGATATTACTGGCTCGAAGCTACCAGTCAGAGCACTCTCAACCGCCTTCACTGTCTCAAGGATACACTGACATTTCAGTCCAGTTGAGCCTAAACCAGGTTTTCTAGCAATTTTCATCTGTAAATAATTACAAACGAATACAGTTAAGCCCTGAAGAAGGAGGTGGCCTTTCTTCCTAAATGCATTGGCTGCACTTGATGCTTGGGCTGTACTTGATGCATTGGCTGTACTTGGCTTGTACTAGCTTCAGTTGGAAAGTAATTATGTCTCTGCCTTTCCTACAAGAGACTGTAACGCTGACCTGCCTGGAGAGGCAGCAATCTTTCCTGCTCATGTAGTATATTAAGGTTTTCCCAACCGTACCTTAGAATGATACCACATTTGGGGGTTCTGGCCAGAGGAGGGCTGGGTTTTGTTACAAAAAAGAAAAGTTTCAGAGGCATTTGGGTCAGATCCCACTATTTATAAACTGATACTGCTCAGTACACAAAGTAACAGATTGCAACTTGTACCTCTGCTACTTGTATTCTGCAGATTTCTTGCAGCATATGTTATTTTTACCCCATGTGTCACCTGATTTGGTTCTGTTACAGACCTTCTGTGAAATCGACAGTGAAGGAAACGGAATTATACAGAAGAAAGATCTGAGGAATGTTTTGTACAGATATTCGCTTCCTTTAACATCTAGTGAATTTGAAAAACTCTGGAGCAGGTGAGTTTATTAGAAGCTCTAATACAGGAGTCTCCAAACTTATTTAACAAAAGGCCGGTTTACTGTCATTCAGACTTGGAGTGGGGAGACAAACTATGGTCAGTGGGAGTAGAAAATGCGCCTGTTAGCGATCAGCGGGAATAAACAATGCATCAGGCTCGTGGTCAGTGGGAGTAAAACATGCACCAGGGTTGTTGGTCAGTGGAAATAAACAAAATTGCCTAGGACCTCTGCTCAGTGGGACGAGGAATAACACCCCATCATTGGTGTCAGTTGAAGGATTAGTGATCCATGATTGGTGCCACTGGAAATAATAGTGATTATGATTACTATCAGTGGAAAGAATAATACCCCATGGTTGGTGTCAGTGGAAAGAATAACGCCCCATGGTTGATGTCAGTGGAAGGAATAACACCCTATTGTTGCTGTCAGTGGAAAGAATTAGGGATGCACTGATACCGGTATTTCAGTATCGAGTATGAGTACCGATATTTTTTTCCCGGTACTCGCAGTACCGATACTGGAAGTCCGCTTAAGGAAGCCAGGCAGCGTGTAATGACTCGCCACCCAGCTTCCTGATTAGCAGGGAAGCCATCCCCATGCTTCTCGTCACTAGGTGATGAGAAAGCATTGAGCCAGCTTTCTGACCAATCAGGAAAGCTGGTGCCATGTAATGACGTGGCGCACAGCTTCCCGATTTGCCCGGGTAGCCGGCTCCATGCTCCCACGCCCCCACGCCATGAGGTGACGAGGGAGCATGAAGCCAGCTTCCCGGCCAATCGGAAAGCCGGGTGTCGCGTTATTACATGGGGCCCGGCTTCCTGATTGGCTAGCTTCCCGACCAATCAGGAGGCTGGGCAACGAGCCATTACACTATAGGGCACAGGGGGGCCCGGCCAGGACATCCCCCTGATACCATGCTGGCCACCTGGGTCGCTATGGCATCGCAGTCTGCTGGCTGTCACTGGCGGTGAGAGGAGGAACGTGTGGCTTTTAGATCACTAATAACCTGTCAGTGATCTTTACAGCGGCGTGTTCCTCCTCACAGCTGCTGCTGTGTCAGTTACCGCCAGCAGCTGTGTTGGAGGGTGCTTGGCCCGGCGTCGGCAGTGGAGGAGGAGGCGGGGCCCGGTGACGGAAGAGGAGGCGGAGTGGTGAAGTCAGAGAAGTGATGTAAGGGGGACAGGGCCCAGCGATGTAGCCGTATGAACGCGCTACAAAACACCCTACATTCAAAGAAGCACAGGAGCTTCTTTGGGGCGTTTTTGTCGCGCGTATCCATTGGGATACAGCCAGGTAGCCCTCGGAAACTTTTTTACCGCAAATCACGTGACACGAAACGCGCGACAAACGCGCATATTCGATACGCCTAGGTGTGAACCAAGCCTAAGTCACAGGGGGTAAAGGTTCACTTCAACATCTAGCTGCAAGCTTGTGCAAAAAAGCAATTACATGAACAAGGAAATGAGAATTCTAATTCTAACTGGCTGCAGAATACTGAAATTTATTGAATAATAAAATCAACTATGTTGTACTGTATCTGTTTTTAAAAGAAAGTCGAGTTTCTCTTTAAGTTTAGATTAAATGTTATCCTGGGAAATGGAAAGTCAACCGATAATGATGTCGGAGATACATTAAGTACGTGTTTGGTATTTTTTTAAGTGTGTTCTGCTGAAGGTTTTAATGGACCTTTGTTCCACTCACCTGAAAATCATTAACTGCATGGTATGTGTTTATCAAATGAAAGTAGGCTTTTCCTTCAACCTCAGAATAAATGTTAGCCAGAAAAATGAAGACAACGTCAACTGAAAATAATGTTGCAGATGCATTAAGTACGTCTCTTGTTTTTTTGTTCTTTTTTTCTTTCTCTAAAGTGTGTTTTGCCGAAGGACCTGTATTCCACACACCTGAAAATCTTTTATTATGCAGAAAATATTAGCATTCCATTCCTGATGTGAAATTACTTTGTAATATTTACCAGAATTAAATTGTAAAAAAGACGCATTCCATCTTTTAATACATATAAACAGGTTTTTCGTTCATGGGCCAAGCTTTGTTATAACATATAATAGGCAAAGCGGAATCCTTTTGTAAAAACTCTTGCTTTTGTATCCGCAGTGGATAATGTATAATTCATTTATAAATGAGCAAAGATTAAGAAAAAAAAAAAAAACGGAGAGTGTAGCAAGCATTTAAAATTCTTTATTGGAAACAGAACAAAGTGTCTGGCTTTTACCAAGAGTAGAAAAATAATAAAGTACCTTGATGGGAGCGAAGCTGGATTGGTTTTCGGTGCTGACTGAAAACGTCTTAAAAAAACATTACACATATTAAACTGTGCAGAAATTTTTTTTATAATGCAGGGTAAAAATAATAATAATAATACAGCGTAAAAAATAATAATAATACAGCGTAAAAAATAATAATAATACAGGGTAAAAATAATAATAATAATACAGCGTAAAAAAAAGAATAATGATAATAAAGGATATTTTTATTAAAGCTAACCTCCAGGCTGATATAGACGGCACAAATTGATGCAGTTCTGTAATGCATCATTCACACATCTAGCAGTGACCTGCATTGTACTGCACGGGATTAACGTAGGTCACTGCTGGGACACATAGAAAACTATTGTTTTCTATGTGTCCCATTTACACCACTACACAGGTGTAATGGGTGGGGCATTGTACTGCAAAAACAAAAAAAAGAAACATGCTGCATTTTTTCACAGTGCACTGGATCCCACTGCAGGTTGCTGCACAGCAGTGCAGCGGACCATGCTGTCTTGCAGGGAGCTGAATGGAGTGTACACATTGATTTGTATAAAGTGGAAAGCATTTCTGACAAACAAAAGTTCTGTGTACATAGACCTCTGGTGACACCCTGGTGTTCTGTTGTTGTCATAAACAGTTTTTTTTTTTTGCAAAGGATGTATTTTCTCTATCCCTAGGTATGATCCAGAAGCAAAGGGCCACCTCACCCACCAGGAATTCCTCCAGAAATTAGGAGTGAACTTTGCATCTGGAGACAGCGGTCCAAGCAAACGTATTTTAGAAGACAACCATCAGGCCTTAGAGAAACATTACAACTCACAGCAGAAGCACCACCAGGACATGTAAGCCATCCACAATCATCAGACCCGTGCTCTGAATATCAAAGATATTGAACAACAGGTCAAGTAAGGAACAGTAGCCTCCCTTACTTGGCAGATGAGTGCTGTTTGTTGCCTTTTCTCCATGGCAGATAGGTGGATTGGCATTTGCCTATGTAGAGATTTCTGAAAGTTAGAAAAAGCTTGATGTGCAGTAATGAGTACAGCTGATGTTTGTAAGCCCTCCTTGCCCTATAGGGAAAACTTACATAGCCCAACAATCACTCAGTCATTGCAACCCACAGTCAAGTCTGTTCTACTGTGTAGTTTGTAGTCCATAAATATTATGGGGTTGATTTACTAAAAGCAAATCGGCAAAGTGAATTTTGCTTTACCTTAGTGGATGTGGTGAAAATAAATAGCCTATTTGTGTTTAATAAATCAACCCCAAAATATCCATCTTGATGTGGAAAATCTTAATATGCAATATGGCCAAAAGTTTGTGGGCACCTGGTCATCACATCTATTTGAGATTGTTGGGTATCTTACTCCAAATACCATGAGTATTAATATGGAGTAGGCCATTCCCCGTGTGGCTATAACAGCCCCATCTCTACTATAAAGGCTTTCCACAGGATTTTGGATGGTGTCTGTGGGAATATGAGCCCATTCAACTAGAAAAACATTTGGTAGATCAAGTACTACTGTATTAGAAGACCTGGCTCACAATTGGCATTCTTATTCATCCCAAAGGTGTTCAGTAGGGTTTAGTTGAGGGCTTTGTGCAGCTCCACATCAAACTCATCAAACCATGTCTTCATGGAGCTGGTGTTGTGCACAGGAGCGGAATCATGTTGGAACAGAAAATGGCCTTCACCAAACTGTTGCCACAAGGTTAGAAATGAACAGATGTCTAAAATGCCTTTGTATGCCGTAGAGTTAACCGTACCCTTCACTGTAAACACATGAACTGAATATAAAAGAGGTGTTCACACAGTTTTTCCAATATATTGTGTTAAAGGAGAACTATGGGGTAAGGGCTTTTCCCCCATAGTTCTCCTTAGGGTAACGGGAGGACACAAACTAGCGTCTTCCCGTCACCCTAAGCTCAGCATACTGAGACGCCGCAGTATACCACGAGCTACAGCTCGCGGTATACTGAGACGCCGCAGCTGAAGCGAATCCCGACAATTATGTCTGGATCCGGCCAGCTGCGTGAGTGACAGCTGGCTCTGCCTATCTAGAGGCAGAGCCAGCTGTACCCGCCCCCGTCCGTTCCGCCAGTCAGCGCTGGAGGATCGGAGCGGGGAGGGGGGAATCCAGTCCCTCCCCTGTCACGGCAGAGAGCTGTGACAGGATCAAGAAGTGAGTGAACGCGGGTATGTGTTCGCTCACTTCCCGATCTACTGAGCCGACCTGTGACAGTCTCATTGTCACAGGTCGGCTAGAATTATGAGGTGAGTGAAAAGCACTCACGTCATAGTTCTCCTTTAACTCCAATGTCTTTGAACAGCTTTAGCTCTGATTTATTGTGTATGTTACTGGTGGCCATTTTGCTGCCTAGGGGGCCACATGCAGCTTGTTAGTACTCATCACCTGACCCTTGAGCCCCAAAAGCCACTAGCAAGCGTTTCCCTAAGTACAAATAAAGTAAAAATATTACATTTGACTGGCTTCTACTAGTTAAATGGCTGTATTTATTTATTTCACACTTTCTTACTTTTTCTGTGCTGCCCATTCCCTTTTCTTTTTTATGTATTTTTTCTCATGACCTTTTATAATGAATCTGGCTGAGAGCATGGAATTGTAATAGGGCCCTAATGATAGAAATCACTATTGATATTGATGTCCCCAGTCTCCGACTGTCTTTTGTAGCAGTCTCTAATCACTCCTGTAGCATGTTTCCAATCTGTAATCATCTTTTCTGTCCGCAGTTTCTGAGCAATTTGTTTGTGTATCAAGTTTTTGGTAGTCTTCTATAGCATTACATACAGTGAATATTGTGTCCTTTGCTAATATATATCAAGTAAATTGACCACCAATGGTCTAAGCCTGGTCTATGATGCCTTACACTCTGAGCATCTGTGCATAATACTTCAAAGTTAGCTTCCCTGCTTTATTGTCTTGTTCCTTTTCCAAATGCAGTAAAGTAAATTGAAATGTGATCCATCATGGAGAGCAAGATACTGGAAACTAACTGTACATGGACAATTGACAATGGTCACAAACATGTACTTCTGATATTTTCACTGCTGTATTTTATGAAGGCTAATTGGAAGGAATGGAGCAGCACCAAATAATATTGATGTGAGGCTACTGATCTACCCTTCCAGCACCCTCATTAGTTAAACTTACATTTCCTACTTCTTTCTTTGTCCACAGAGACAAGTTCAGAGAGTATTATCCTGACTTTGCTGCAGCCTTTGCTAGAATAGACAAAAACAAGGATGGACTTATCTCTGTTCAGGACTTCCTAAGAATGCTTCAGGAGCTGAACTTTGACCTCAGTGATGATCAGTTCCTCAATCTCTTATACAGGTAATCAAAGGGTTGCATATGCTGACATTTTTTATTGTGATACACATTTATATCCCAAATTTTACATGCAGTTCTGGTGACATGGAGGTTGCATGAATAAAGTACTGTGTCGATAGCATCAGTTTGACATCACCCTGAGATCATTCACAATTAATTTACAGGTGCATTTGAGCTTTTTCTGACTGGTATGAGTATGTAAAATATGCAAAGTGAACAAAATCTCACCGACACAGGCCCTAAAACAAAAGTTAATAGTATAACCTACATTGGCACTATAAATAACAAAATAGAGAATGTGTAAACATATTGCCCGAGTTATTTTGTAATGTAAAGAACCTTACCCTGTCCCCGTATATAGGTATTGTTCATCTATGGAGGCCTCTTTGCCAAAATAGCACCTGAAGAAGGAGCCAAAATGAGGCAATTAAAATATTTTTTGTCACAGGTGCTCAATGCATTTGCTGTATCTAGCAAAAAGAAGTCTAGGTCCGCTAAGGCCATCAAGTCCAGGACCATAGCAGCGATCTATTACTTATGGTTATAAGATAACAAGTACTGTATACGTTCTTTATGAAAGACAGTCAGATAGATATACAGCCCATTGGGTCTCCCTGTGGCTCCCCATCAGGGAGGTTTCTGTCTCGGACGTGTAGCAGTCACTTTATATACACCTTTTGACTCTGTGAATTACCTGCTGCTTCGGTTCTACAGTTGCCATCAGTGAACATATAATGAACCATGGAATGGCTATTTATATTGTTGATTTGATACAGTATATATCCGATTTAAAGTATAATGTATCCTATAGGTGGCAAGCAGAGGTGTTTTTGTAGAACTCAAAAATTGTATATCTTGGTGATTGTTGTATACAATTCATTTTTAAAATTGTCTTAGACTGCATGCTATATTTTTATATATCAAATACAATGCATTATTTTGAATTGTAATCATGTTGGGACTAGGGATGGGCTGGATGTTCGAGTCGACTTTGAGTTCAACTCGAACATCGCTAGTTCATGTGTTCGCCGAACACACGAACTATCAGGGCGTTCGGTGGTCTGTTCAACCGCTGAACGCCCCACAAGGCAATGCACCTTGTGAAGCCCTAATTGGCTAAAGGCTTGCACCTGACCTCAGTTGCCATCAGTGAACATATAATGAACCATGGAATGGCTATTTATATTGTTGATTTGATACAGTATATATCTGATTTAAAGTATAAGGTATCCTATAGGTGGCAAGCAGAGGTGTTTTTGTAAAACTCAAAAATTGTATATCTCTAAATTGTAAATCTGTAGGCCAGGATAACCACTCCTGCTACCACCATGCCTCTGTTTTTTGCTAGAGTCCTGGGAGGATGGACATCTTTTCTTCAGCTCTGTTGTGGAAAAGACTAACCCTTTTGCTAGCATCATTTTTTCTTATTCTTCAACATCTTCTTTTCTACACTGTTGCTTGGGCTGGTCTCTCCAATTGCGGCTATATTCCATGGCTGCCCCCAGATTGGCTCTTGGAGTGCCACGTCCAGACCCCACTGAATTTGATGTTGCGGGGATAGCCTGGAAGTGACCTCCGGGCACTGGGATCTGCATAAGACCCTTTCCAAACTTTGTTCTGGTAAAAGTTATCTGTGGGGCACTTTTAGGTCCAGATCAGCTGGCATTTCTTCAGCACTTGCCCTTTCTTTGATGGATTCCATTTTAAATGGGGTGGTTGAGCCAAGTACTGGGCACTGTTTTAAGTACATAGGTCACTGGACACCTCTAAAATGCCACCGCAGAAGAGGTTACTGCTGTAGGACTGCTTATGTCATCTACTGGGTGGAGTGTTGCACACGCTCTCAAGTTCTCTTTCCTACCATACAGCATTGGGAAAGAATCTACCTGCTACTTCAGCTTTGCAAAGAGCGACGAGGAACTTTGATCTTCCATCCGTTCCTGCTGCCCACCTTCAGTGAAGGTCATCTCTGGCCATCCAACCTTTACCTGCTAGAGCTTTCAGGTCTCTTGCCCTATGCTCCTAGAGTTTATCCCCTCTTGGTGGCAGTCCTTCCTTCCCGTCTTTTGTAGGATTATTTCAATGGATGGCAGCTGGTTGGACTAGGGAGGAGTCCTGGCCACCTTGTTGGAACAGGGGACTTGGTCATCAGAGGAGTGAAGGAGCATGTGATTACTAGGGCTTTCACCCTAGGAATTTCTTTGTGGGATGAATCCTTTTTACAGCTGGGTCTGCACCAGCGTTTGCCTCTCAGCTCTATCAAAGGTCAGGTTTCTGCCTTTTCTGTCTTGTTTAGGAGACTGTTGGACTCTCACTCCTTGATTAAGACCTTTGTACAGGGAATCGCCCATGAAGTTCTCCTTGTTTGTTCCCCTGTAACTTCATGGCATCTGAATCTGTTTTTCTCTGCGCCTAACAAACTGGCATATGAATCCTTTATAGACATTCCTCACTTTTACCCACAAGATTGTATTCCTTGTAGCTATCACCACTGCAAGGCAAGTGTCTGAACTGGACACTTTATCCTGTAGGGAACCTTTTCTGGTTTTGCATAGAGACCAGGTGGTATTGAAGCCCAGGACTTAAACTATGGGGTCTATTCACGAAGCTGCCGAGGGCAGCCGAGTGAATGACCGATCTGAAGTGAAGTGAGCCGAACACTGTTCGGCTATTCACTTCAGGCTGGTACGCCTAATTTCAGCCGTACAACGGCTGAAATCAGCCGTACATCGGCTTGCTTCGCGTGGCTTCAGGTCGGCCGAACATGCTCAGCCGAACAAGTGCAGAAGGAGTTCGACTCAGCCGATCCAACATCTGGATCGGCTGAGCCGAACCCCCGGCAGGCTACTCACTGCTGTTCGGGCTATTCTTAAAGATCCCGAACAGCAGTGAGTGAATAGCCGAATGCCGCCGAGCGGCATTCGGCTCGGCTGTTCTGCTCGGTCCCTCAGAGGTACTGAGCAGAACAGAAAAAGAGTGAAAAAAGTAAATAGCAAATGATTGTGTGGAGCTAGCAGTGACAGCTAGCTCCGCCCAATAGTTTCCTATTGTCCGGCGGCTCTGCTGCTGTAAAAGGAAAAAGAGAAAAAAAATCTCCCAGGCGCTCTGGGAGCCTCCCGCTCCCGGCCGCCAATGAGAGAAACAGGGCTGTGTCTTTTTTTCTTTATTCTGACACGCGCTGTCAGAATAGAAAAAAAAAAAAAAGAATTTCCCATTGAAAATCATTGGGACATTACTATTGGCTATTTCAATCTGCTGATGGACCTGATGGGGAACTGCAGCAGAGGGCGGGTACAATGCTAGTTGTCATTCGTAATTTTGGATGCATCCGAATGTCCAAATTTACAGATATTCGTATGAATTTCAATTTGGAGCGAAACGCATTACACGTGTCTAATGCTTCAGACTTCCTCTATATCTCCATTTTTTGTTTACCTCCCTTGCTGTATCCTTATTATAGGGGGTACCGTATATACTCGAGTGTAAGCCGAGTTTTTCAGCACATTTTTTGTGCTGAAAAATGCCCCCCTCGGCTTATACTCGAGTCAGCGTCCTGGGGCCGAAGCTAGCCGAAGGATCGGCCGAAGCTACGGCCAGATCCTTCGGCAGCTTCGTGAATAGACCCCTATGTCTATCTTTCTTTCTTTCATCCATCTAGAACTAGACCCATCCAGCTCTAGTTCTGTAAATGATAACTTTGATTCCATTGGCTTGATGTAGTTTGTGCTGTGAGAGTCTCTCAGCCACTCCTTCTTTCAGAAAGATTGATTCCTCTTTGTCATCCTGGGTGGTCCCCTTGAGTGAGCACCAGCTTCTTGTTCCACCATCTCTAGGTGTCTCATTATTGGATCTTATGGTCCAAAAGATTAGGTTCCACCCTTTCCTGTGAAGGCACAATCTACTAGATCTGTGAGTGCTTCTTGAACTTTTTGGCATCAAGCCACTATTTACAGGATTTGCCAGGCTGCCACCTGGTCTTCTCTGAGCTCAACTAGGTGAATGTTGTGGCCAGCTTCAGGCATAAGGTCCTTCAGACAGCTCACTGAGATTCAAGCAGTTCCCACTTTTCTTTTATGTCGTTGGCCTGTTAGCATTTGTTTGCTGTGTTGCCCTTCTGTGGCTCTGAATGGGCAAAAAAAAAAAGATTTTTGTACACACCATAAAATCCTTTTCTTGTCGTCCATTGAGGGACACAGGCCCCATTCCTGTGTGATCATAATGAATTTACTACAAAACTGAGGCATGCTTGTAGAAGGAGGGCTAATCCTGGGCAGGCCTACAGTTTTTTTTGTTTGCCAATGTCCAATCCTCCAATTATTTCAACTGTGTATATAGTTTAGCTTTAAGCTTGAAGTAGTCGATATCTTTTGCTGACCTAAGAGAGTAGACTGACCTCAGTCAGTACAAAAGTGACACACACGTTTCCCCACAGAATAGGCTAAATATTGCAAATAATGTCTCTCCTGTTTGTGAGCTGTAATATGGGGTTACACTGAAGTGTGCTAAAGACTATGATTACCACTCAATAGATGGCTATAAACTCTATTTATTGAGCCAGCCTCTGGTTTATTCTTCTGCCGAATGAGGGCTGATTGTCATGCATTCAGCAGATGTACAGTATAATACAGGGTAAATGAGAGCGTGTTGAGTCTATGGGAGTCATTTAAAGGTTCGTTTCTCTGATTAGACACTTCTATTGTGCTTGCCCTATACCCAGCGCCTCAGATATTGGTTAAACATAAAGGGGAAATCCAGCAGCTGACTGGAGCACATGAGACACCCTGGCAGCTGCACGGGGGCACTGCCAACTCTCCTGCAGTACACGCAGCAGATGTTTGGAACATGGCGGACGCTCGGCTGGTTCTCCCACGCGTTCCCAGGCCACCAAAAGCAAAGCTTTTCTTGCTTACCGCTTCCAGGCAAATTCCCTCCGTCATCCTTCGCATTGAACAAATATTAATATTTATTAGATCGACTTTACAATGTGTATTCAGCATTACCCAACATATCTCTCTAACAAGCTGCAGCACCGCACAGGGTCGAGGGATATTGCCGTACTTGTTTGTTTTATTGTATTCACTACATAATTACATGTGCTGCCTAAAGGAGGCTGATATGTCGGAATACAGATTGTAATATCTGGGAAGGAGAGATATAGCAGAATGTACAGAGAGTAAAAAGCCCCGATGGTAATTTACTTCTTTGTTTAAGCCAAGGACTAAGTGTGTTATGAGACATGTACCTCTCTGTTCTACTGTGCGCTCACTCCTCGCTGTTCTTTGTACTGCAATTGATTCTTTATTGTGCTGAAAAAGTTGTTTTTTACCTCAAAAATGTTTACACATAGTACTATTATCATAATAACTCAAATCAACCTTCTTTTCTCTCTTCCTTCATAATTTCCTTCCTTTCTGCATTCCTTCCTTGTTCCTTCTTTCCTTTCTTCCTATGCTGACAAATTCAGCTATATTCTTTTTGCAGTGTTCGCTGTACTCTGCCTATTTGTTTTCATTAAAGAGACCCTGTCACCAACTTAATAAATTGTGTATGAAAGCACAGAAAAATCAAATATTGTAAATGCTTACTTGCATTTTTTTTCTTTTCCATACATTATGTTTTATTCACTTGCAATGTGCCTTTGAACTTGCTAGAAAACATTACTACTTCAGAAAGAGTCAATTCCCAAGCACAGCCACAGTTCCTTCTTCCTCCCGCCATGTTTCCTTTTTTTAGAGTGGCTTAATTACTTTCTATGCTGGCCCATCTCCTTTCCCCACCCCACATCTTCCTACAGAACCTTTTATGTAGTTGCTGGGGGAGGAGTGAAGGGGAAACCTATAAGGTATCACTTAAGTGACAGCTCTGAGTCTTCTGGGGCTACACACATCACATCCAAGCTAGCGATGCCCCACAGCAGTGGGTGGATGTCTACACAATGGAGGTTTTTACTGGTAAAAAAAACATGCAAAAACAACATGCAAAAACATACAATCTTATGGGAAGATTTCTATTGAAATGAATGGTCTGGTGACACAGGGTCTCTTTAAATAAAACCTCAAACTTTACCATGCAGGGTGAAGCAATAGGTGTATTTATACATCCTCTTTGCCTTTCCTTTGCTCCCCCACTAATCCATTTGCCGCTACAAACAAACAGAAATGCATGTTATTTCTAGTTATAGTGGATCATGGGATTCACTCAGCCTTCACCCATTTGCCAGAGCTGGTGGATGGCAATTGCAGAAACATCAACTTTGTCACATGGGGACAGGAAAAGAGCCCTGAGCCCTGTGCAGGCTGTGATTGGGATCAACTTGGAGTTTACATCGTGCTTCTTTTGTTCACTTCTGGAAATGTAGAGATAGAAGAGTGAAGGGAAGGAAAGTATAAGATTCTGTAGGGCCAACTTTAAACTGAACATGGACAAGGAAGGATTGGATCATTGCTGAGCAATAGTGATAGGCCATAATAAACCTACATATGACTTTGACTATGTTTTTATGCAAGGCCAGGCTTAAATGAGATCTAATGAAACCAAATACACTTTCATTACACTACATCAGCATTGTAATGGCGATAGAAATGTTATTTTTGACAGTTCAATGCAAGCTTTCATGAAAATTCTCCTTTCATGTTGTGAGCGCTGTCTATCTGCTGGACATCTTTTTCAACAATTTCCTGGATTCCCTGCATGCTTTGCAGCTTCTCCTCTGCTCAATCCTTTGGTTTACTATTTTCTAAAGACTGCATATCCCAAGGTAGCTTGCTGTCGGCAAGCAATGATAATGTCACATGTGAATTTTTCTGTACTGACTGTACCTCCTCTTCAGCACCTCGGTAGTTCACACAGCAGGCTCTGTGATTTGGGTGGCACAGCAGTGCATAGTCACGGGGCAAAAAGTACATTTTTAAACTGCAGAATGTTTAAAATTTAGGCTGGGTTCACACCTAGGCGTATTGAATATGCGCATTTGTCGCGCGGTTTGCGTTGCTCGTTTTTACCGTTTTTTCCGTGGGCTACTTGGCTGTATCCCAATAGAAACGCGAGACCAGAACGCCCCAAAGAAGTACATGTACTTCTTTGGGCGTAGGCCGTTTTGTATCGCGTTCGGATGGGCGGAAATACGGCAAGGTGTGAACCAGACCCATTGAATACAATGGGATTTAGATGTTTGAGCGTTTTGTAGAGCGTTCGTCGAGCGTTGAACGCGCTACAAAACGTTCAGGTGTGAACCAGGCCTTATAGTAGGCTAGAAATAATTGATATTTAAAGTGGAAATGGATATATGATTTTCAATTTTGACTATTCATATAATTTATTTAAACAATATGCTGCAGTGGTTGCTGGCTGCTCAGTGCTTATTCTCTCTCTCAGTTTGTTTGTTTTTATTAAAAAAATGTGATACCCCTCTCTAACTTTACAATTACCTATATTGGATATTTACTTTATTTACTTCTAAATCGTTTGTTGGCTTGGAATTCCCTTTCCAGACCCATTTACAAAATACTGTACATTACAGTAACATACAGTAAAAATGCACTGCAGAGCACCACAGCCCACATACTGATTGTGGGCATTGTGATGCGCTGTGTTAGAAAGCCGAAAAACATGTCTGGTTTTTTATGTGTTAAGTTTTCACTGTTCGCCCATTCAAAGTAAAATCGACTGCCTTAACACACCACAACATGTTACATTATTGCACATGTGTTTATACAAGGCATAGTGTGAATGGACCTTTAAACTAAATGGCAGAAAATAAAAATATGGAATGAACATTTCTTACATTTCAGCGGAAGCATTATTTATCTGCTGCATCGATTTTTATGGAATTACAACTAGTTTTCATTTTCTGCTGTTAAAATACAGTTTTGTTGTGTTATAAAATATGCCTGACTGTTTCTTTCTAAAAGAAGAATAGGGAGCAGTCGATAAAGCTTTGATCACCCCCATCCATAATGTATGATCTACCTCTTAAATTACTGTCAATAGCTGTGCAGGACTCAAAATGAGGGATTGTGTTTATTGTTTTCTATACCGTACCCATCCTGTGTGTTTTATGTTCCCACCAGGCTAAGGCTGAGAGCGATAGACAGCAAGCTGTCTTATTTCGACTTTTTAAGGATGATTGATGATGGAAGGGCTTCTAAGTATGGACAAAGGCAAGAGCTGATCGTGCCAACAGAGGACCTGCAGGCTCTCAGCCCACAGAAGATCCTTGTTCGGCTGAAAGAAGCAGTAAAAACATCAAAGGACAAGCTGTATAAAGTAAGAGGGGAACTTTGAACTTGCTCCATGGACTGGTTTCTCGGTGCTAACATGCAGAAGTATAATTAATACAGACATGGTACATACCCGGACATATGATAAAAAATGCATAAGCAGAGGTTACCTTCAGTGAACACCACTGGTTGAATCAGTTTGTAGATGCAGAGCTATAAGCAGCTAAAGTTACCTGCAGATCTTGGCTTTCCTGTAATATTTTGTTGCCACATAAATACAAGGTGTAAAAAAAATCTGGCATAAAGTTAAAAGTCATTGTGGTTGCCAACCTCTCCTCCAATACTAATGATATCAAAGACATATCCGCTTTATAGCAAGTCAGAGCAAGTCAGATCCTAACACATGCAGTGGGGTTACCCCCCACTGTAAGGGTTAAGTGCTCATTTTGTTTAGGGAGCTGAAAGAACAAAGTTATAGTCGCCCAAACGGTGTTCCTGGCTGGCTCCTACACCGCTCCCTCTAGCCTGCCTTCTCCTCTGCTCCAGCAATAGAATGGCTCTGGGCTTCCTTTCGTCCTATACACTGTATGGTATGTGATGACTCACAGGACATTACACCGCTGGAGCAGAAGGGGAGCGAGGCTAAAGGGAGCGGTCTAAGAACAAGTTGGCTCAGAGGATCCGGTGAGTATAACTTTGTTACTTTGTTATTTTAGCTCCCGAGGCAAAATGATCACTTAACCCTTGCAGTGCAGGGGGTAGCCCTAATGCAAAGGTTAAAAAATGTTTGCGCGGCGTTCTGCTTTAAAGTGACCATGTGCTTTTCCTATACAGGGTAAAACATTAGGTTTACTTAAAGGATAATCACACTTTTAGTACAGTTGTTTTTTATAGGTCTATCTGTAGTTCGGCTTTAAGGTGTGCTATATAATGTTAAAATGGCATAGGATATTGCTGAGTGACAAGCCACTTGTCTAAAAGCACATTTTAAGTTGGCTTAAAGCTTAAACTCTTTTGTTAATCAGTTTTTAAATAATGAAATAATCAGCTCCCTGCAAAGAAAACGAATACTTACCTTTGCCCCCATATGGGACATCGAAGATCCAAGCTGTGCTGCAGAATGTTCACCAATCGACACTTCTGCACTTCCGTGATTGTCGGATGCTGGCATCCCCTGTTGCTCTCTGTGGTTTCCTCTGTCAGCCTTCATGTAACTGCAGGACACAGGGGTCAGTGGAAAAAAAACACAGAGCCATGGTCCAATCAACCAACCAGTGCTCGAGGATGAAGATTTTTCTTAGCAAGCTTAGACCTTCGATGAAATGGAGTTAGGGTGCACGGACAGTGTGACAGGGAATTATTCATAGCTTTCTTTACATGGAGCTCTTTTATAGATATTTTTTTAAAGTAGCAATAAAGTCACTTTAAGTGCTACTTGAATCTTGATGATTCAAAGTCTGTAAATCAGTGCGGCAGTCCCAGATGAAGAGCCTGCCCCTTTAAAGGCCAAGGCGGCAATGCTGGCTCCCATATTTCAATTGTTACATGTTCTTTTTGAAGAATAACTAAACCCAAGAACAAAAATTTAATATATTGCAGCTTTCCATTTCTTAGATATGGTGGCTGCATTAGTTTTCATTTTAATCAAGTAGAGAAATACCTGTTGATCTTGCCAAAAATGCAGTGTCCTTGTCACTATGAGCTGACGTGGAACCATAAAACAATGTTGTCCTCATCCTATCATGAACAGAATGAACAGAAACAAAGGCAGAAATGTTTGAAGTCCAGCCGGGTTGACAACTATGGCTTCCTCTATAGATACAGTGGAAGAGCGAATGCAGTCACCCAGGGACAGGAAGTGTGTTATTCGCTAGATTACCAGATGAAAAGAAAGGGAAAATGCTTGAAAAAAAGAAAACAAATGCAGCCACTATATCTAAGGACTGGATAGCTGCGCTATTACTTTTATGTTTTTGAGTTTAGATACACTTTATAGACAGCTATCCTCCCCCCTCCCTGCTTTTATTTTTACTCAGTCTGCCATTTCCTGTAGCATTGTGTGTAACAGTCCCAGAGAGGACCGAAATATATTGTGTGAAGATTTATTGTTTTTACTGAAAAACATGACGTGTGGAGACCACAGAGCCAATAAAATCACTGTGCATCTTCCTGCGTACTTTTCCCAAAGTGACTGAGAAAAAAATAATTCACCTCCTTTCCTGTCACCTTCAGGCATTTTCTTCATTTGACAAGGACGACACCGGAACAATAAAGCCTTTTGAATTACATCGGATCCTTGACAGTTTCTGTTTTAAGCTAACGGACAGGCAATTCATGTACCTACTGAGCAAGCTGTCGCTGAACGAGGACCGCACAATAGACTGGAAGGACTTCCTACACAATTTCTCCATCTCCGAGGTTCGTTCACTGCTCTTTGCATGAGCAATAAAAAAAAGACTTGTGTCTGTTGTTTTCACATCAAGAATTCAGAATAAAACCTGCAATTTTACCTGTAACTGTCTGTTACTACATGGCCGATCCACGCTGACAAACCAAATGATGACATTTAAAACAATAAGATGCTCTTTGAACATACAGTCTTGTCAGAACCGCCTCTGCTTGTCTGAATTCTCAATAATATGCTCCTTTATAAATGTACAAACGTGTTGACAAATAGAAGATTTTGTCTAGATGCTGCTGCCAACATACGTAAAGGAAATAGCTACTAAAAAAAACAGCCTGCACATAGTATAGTATGTCCTAATGATTATAGCCCGATGCTACACTACGCTACTATAAATGGCTGTTGTATGGTCAACGTGGGGAGAGCTTTGGTAAGCATTCATTACACACAAACTGCATTACATTATACTAGGGCTGCGGAAATTAACGATTAATTTCTCGATTAATCGTTAAACTTTTTGATCGATTAAAATTATTTTGATCGCTAATGAAAACACTCACCACTTCCAAGAGTCCCGTCGGCAATCCGGTGACGTCACGGACATCGACGGCTAACGAAGTGAAGGGGGAGGAGTCCGTGACATCAGCAGACTCCTCCACCCTTCCCTACGTTAGCCGACGGAGCGACTTGGGCTGGTGAGTTTGCCCAAGAAACTTTCTGCACGAGCGCCAGCAAAGGCATTGGTCTATACACATACAGCACAGCAATGTTATTATTCTGAGCTGCCACACTCAAGCGGCGGCCATATTGAATGGGGCACGTGAGATTAATAACGTGCTGGATTAGTGTGATCCTAGTTCATTTTATTACTTCATTGCTGTGCTGTATGTGTATAGGCCAATGTAGTTGGATCTGTATGTGCGTTATAATTAATCGAAATTAATCGATTTAAAAAATGTTTGATTAATCGAACACGAAAATTTTAATCAGTAACAGCCCTACATTATTCCATTATGTTTAACATTTTGATGCCCAGTTGATCATTTTCTTACAATGCAATAAGAATGGCTCTTAGTTACTGACTTCTTAGTAAGTGCCCATTACTATAATACGACACTCAAGATAGATGTCGTATGGTCAATCAATGCATGATGAATTTTGGTAGACTTAAAGCGGAACTACAACTACAGCAGGACCTCCTATGCCTAAGACCTCATTCACACTGCAGCGCGTATATTCGCGTACGTGCATATTGTACTATATGCAGCATATGTAAATAAATGACTCCATACACATAGCTGCGTATGGAGCCGTATATTTGTGTAGCGAAAAAATGCGCAAAAACAATGGAACCGAGATGCGTCCCAGCAGCGTATTTTACGCGCATACGCGTGTTTGCGTGCGTATACGCACATAGGTGCGTACAGTTCATTAAAATTTCTAGTATGAATGATGCATTCTGGGATTGCATATAGTGCATGCATATACGCGTGTATATGCGTATACACGCGTATATATGCAATATACAATTTTGCTCTTGCGTTGTGTGTGAATGAGGCCTTACAGCCAAGGAAGGTGCCATCTTAGCCTCTATTTGGATTGCAGTTGCCGTACATGTGATCAGGTATGATAACACCCATTGGTGGGCCTGAAAGTTCAGTTGAGAGCTGAAATAAGCACACTGGCAACCTTGACATTTGGAATGCCTTGAAAACTGTTTTGAGAGACATTAAAATGGTGGCTAAAGCTTCTCTTTAATTTGCATACAAACTGCTTGGGTAATCCCAATGTTGTTGAGATATTAAGGGAATAAAGAATGTTCGCTTAGCAAAATGAATATTCGTTGAGCTTAGTGAATAAGGTTAAGCCGTACTCAAACAATCAAGTGCTAGCAAAGTCCATTTTTTTTATTTCCCTTGTCCATGATTTAAGATTTTAAAGTAAACTCTGCTTTGGCTTATTTACTAACATTCACTTTGCTTAAAGAGACACTGTCACCTTGACCATGCAGGGTGACGCGACAGTGTCTCTGCAAAGGGTCCCGTGAACCTCTTCTTTTAGCCTTAACTGTTCTTCCTTGCTGCTCCTTCCTTGTTGTAGCTACCAGCACTTCTGGTATGGTGGAACATGTGAACTGCTCCCCTTTGAGAGTCGCAACCAACCTAATGGCCAATAGCTAGGCCCGAGCACTAACCAAATAGGTGATGTCACCGGACCCAAGGTAATCCACACCACTGATTTCAGTGCCAGCTATGATGGAGGAAGGATCAGTAAGGGAATGCAAGCAAGGTGAGAATAAGGTCATTTGGGCCCTACGGTAGGTGTACATGCTTGGGAATTGAAAAGGTACACTTTAAGAAAACCATAATTGCAGTCCTAAAGCACTGGGAGGTGAGAGCCAAGATATGGAAGATCTCTTTACAGCCTAACACTTCCACCTCATAAGCTCCAGTTCTTGAGAGTCTCTTGGTGTGCCGGCTGTCCTAATAACCTCTCAGAGCATGCTTGTCTTTTAGAAAATTGGCCTCTAGTAAATGAACACCTCTGTATTTTCCTAATTAACTGTCATTGTTATCTGTTTCCTTATTCTCATAGCCTGTTTCCACCTGGGTGGACAGAGTGGAGAGAGCCACCAGGCTGAGATCTGGTCAAGAACTGACAATGAAGGACATCTTCACACACATCCAGGAAATCGTCAAGGCGCGCTTTAACTCTATCACTCAGGAGTTCCTAAACATAGACTTTGCTGGCATTTCCGTCATTTCCAAGGAAGACTTCCAAGAGCTCTTCAATAAGAATTTCATGTTGCTTACAGATGACCAGGTAAGAAGTATATTATCTGTGTTTTTCAGACATGAATGCAAGTTGATTATGTACTACAAAACATGAACTTTTCAAGATCACTTTTTCAGAGTAAGGTAGACAAATATATGTTTTTGTAATTTAAAAAAAAGTTCTCTAAGATGCTCACAAGGCAATGCTCTTTTTAAATTCCTAAAATGATATGGCCTTCATATCCAAAACACCTAATACATAGTTGTAGTACATACTTGCAACAGTAAGCTTCTCCTGGAGACAATTGACACTGTCCCTTGGTATGTAGTTTATTCAAAGTTCAAAAACTATAGTCTTTTAAATAATTATTTTTTTTTGCCTGGTGACAATGGTCTCCAAGAGAAATGGGGCGAATAAGGTGAATCTCCCCAGCGAAGACACAGATAGCAATACAAATCTAATAGATACACTTTAAACCACTCAATATTTTCTCCTATCTCTCTGGTGGTGAGATCTCTGCATTGAGTTCTTCGGTCTGCACACCTGCTGTGCCTATTATAAGGGGTTCTGATTCTTCCTGCTGGATTTTAGATTTATTTTGCATAATGGAGAATGTAACAGGAGGAGCTGGAGCACCCAAAGGTGGATGGGAACACCTAAAACTCCCAGTTGGACAGGAACAAAGTTAGGAATTATGTCAGGGGGATTCCACTGTTAGAGAATCTTAAACATATAAGTCCTCAGGGGCTGATTCAGCCCACCAGGCTCTACATATAACTTAAATTTACCTTTTGGGATAACTGACCCTTTGATGTAAATAATATTGTGTTTTTAAAAAAAAATCTATATATAGCTGTAATTATCTGCAAACACATGGACGGCCTTTTTAATCCTCTAACCTACTATTGACTGAAAGCAACAAACTCTTTGCAGTAAGGATTGGCAGATATTGCCCATGTGACCAAGGCTGCCTAGGCTGGGATTTGTGGAACAGCAAAATGTTGTTCTTATGACAAGGAAGGGGCAATTCCTATGTACAAAATAATGTATGGGAAGGTTGACATGTTGATTCATGTGAAGTTTGAATTTTAATGCTAGATCACTTTAACACTTTTCTGTAAAAGAAAGAACTCAGATCACGTGCAGCAGACGGTTACATTTGAGCCATTGGTTCTGAATGATTTAACTGGAGAATCTTTGCTGCAGACCTCTGTCTATTGCTAACGCATTTTACTTTGGGGTCTGTTTATACATGTTTTTACCCAGGAGTCACACAGTTTTCGAGTTGCCTCTAATTATAAATCCTGGGAGAAGGTGGTGTGAATCTTGGGTAAAAATGTTTATAAAGAAATCCTTAAATATGCTAGCCTGATATCATCTTTTAATGTTACAATTTGATATTTTCTCCACAGTTTGAAAATCTTTGGAGCAGCTTGCCCCTAAATTCATATGGAAATCTCAGATATCATGATTTCATGAGGAAGTTCAGCTATGACATCCCAGAAACACCCTCACGGGATCAATTAACACGTAATACAGAATCGCCTTCCAAGACCGAGTCTTTAGCCACAAACAGCCGAGCTTCTGTGACCAGACGCCCTAAAACGGCACCAGCCATTGCCAACAAACCTACTGTAAGTAGTCCTTCTGTTTGTGAGCAAGTTACAAAAGAACTGCAAGGATTCTAGGGAACTCAGTTTACAGAGGACCTGTGCTGTGGAAGCCGTATCCAAAAAAGTCATGCAGAGTGCATAGGACTACTCACCAGTATTGGCTATGGTCTATGTGCATCTGATCTTTTCCCTATTATTGACTTACCATGCTTTGTTCTGCACTGTTTCTTTGTATAGGGGTGGCCATCTTGGTAAAGGCAGGGCTAAAGCAGCCCTCCCCCCCCCCAATGACTGGTGATCTTATGACAGTGGGGGTAATGATGGCAAAATGGCAGTTGTTTATAATACATGGTGCTTTAGCAAACTAAATTAGATCCACATAAGGTTTAAGTCTACCACGAAAACTATGTAGTGTTACAGAATATGTATTTTCTATAAATGAGTAAAGTAATTAAAAATCTGTCTGTATGTCTGTAGGTATTGAAAAAAAATCAGATAAGAAAATGATGTATTCTGGTAATTAGCCATTTGGATCAGGCATTTTGTAAACCAAATTTCTTGGTGTGTGTTGGAAATGTCTTTCTTTCTGGTTCTAAGCATGCATACTGTAATATCTGTTCTGTTTTTCCTCATAGACTCCTGTACAGAGGCCACGTACCGCAGCCCCTCCTTCTACACCAATCATAAACTGTGAGCGGGTTGAGCGCACATTGAAAATAAATCTTAGGAAATGCTGGCAGGACATGCATAAGGCTTTCCGGGAAAAAGATCCTGAAAAGCTGGGAGAAGTTTCTGCTTCTGATTTCTCAGGTACAGCACTCAACAAGCTTGTCTCATTCTGTATTTTTGTCTTTGAACGGCAGTATCGGGCAGCTCCCGTGAAGGACAGGTGTTGCATGTGATTATTACGCAGACCCTGTCCTTCTCTATGGGAGTATGCGAACGTACGCCGCGCTACGCTCACCCGCCCTGCACGTCCGTGCAGGTGCCGGTGTCCGTACCCATATGCTGACAGGATGGATCCTGTCTGCGTCCGAGCCGGGACACCCGAACCCGTACGGACCTGCACTTGTGTTGAGCGTAGGGCAGCATATGGCCACGTACTCCCAATCGAACCGGTGGACCATCCCTAATCACCATGAGCACCACCACCATTGAAAGGTTGCAGACCGTAAGGAGTGCGGGTGGTTCTTGCAAACAATTGATAAACAACTGGCGTACCTTACATTTGTAAAATGGTCATGTAAATCCAAAATTATAGCCCTCTAACACATAATAAGTATCACCTGAGCCTATCTATTGGCCTGTTGTTATTTCAGATGTCATGAAAAGATTTAACATGGACCTGCTGAAGGAAGACCTGGAGCAGTTAACTCTGAAATATGACTTAGGAAACAATGGAAAATTGTCATACATAGACTTCCTGCGCAATGTCACACTTGAACCAAAGCAGCAAGGATCAACTCTCCTGCAGAGGGTAAAACTGCAAAAGCCAAGGATCCCGGTATGTACTATGATTATTTCTTTATAGAGATCCATATTCTGCCTGCTTCTGATCTTTGAACCTCTATATTGCTGCTGACAACATCTGTCTGATTAGTCACAATATAAGCCATAGACAAGGCACAAATTCTGCTATACAAACAAATCATACACAATTGTAAAAATCCCAACAGTACTTTAAAGTGCAGACAATCTCTGTGTGACATTTGAGCAATTATCCATGGAATCATTCGCCATTCCGATTATATGTGCTAATGATGTAGGAGAATCTAAAAAACAGTCATAGTGACCTCACAGCTCACCATAATTGTTCACATTAATAGCATTTCTCATTATCAATTGTGTGCTGAGAATAATGTCCCTCATTAGTGGAACCTCCTTCCACACCAAATGCCTTTACAAACCTAGACAGACCCTCTTAGACAGTTGTCACCAGAATAGGTGTCCCCACAAACTGTAACATTTTCGATTTCCCATCACTTTATGTCTCAGTAGCAATGTTGACCAGGACAAATCTATTTAGTTGAGACAGCAAGAAAAACTTGACGGGTTCTATACTCTTCCGAAATCAAAAAATAAAAAAGTTTTGACTGTACACACACTTTAACCAGTTGTTCCATGCATTTGTCAAATGTTTGTTAGATCAAATCAGGTCACATACTGAAGAAGACGCCTTCAGTGTGCATCACAAACACCCAGGTCAGATCTTTAGGATTATTATCTCTAGGTACCACATACTGTTTATCCGTTAGACTCACATTTTACTGAGTTGACCATTTCCATGTTGCTTTCCTCTAAACAGACATAATGTCATTTACTGTGGAATATTTTACATACAGGCTGTATATTTCTATATACTGTAACTTTATGATATTGCCTGCTAGATGAGCACAGGATTACCTGGTGCCGCAGTCATAGATGCCATACTTCGAATCCAGCCAAAGATAGTAGACAGCTGGAGACCAATGAGGCGGACCTTTCGGGCTTATGATGATACCAGGACAGGGTATATAAGCATTCCGGATTTCAAGCAGGTATAGTGAGATTCTTCCTATACTGTTTCTTAATACGTGTGTGTGTGTACCAGTGGCGTAACTAGTGACCTCAGGGCCCCATGCAAGAATCCATGAAGGGCCCCCCCCCAAGAAGAAACACATTAGATATTTTTTTTTTTTAAACAAAATTTAGACAAGGAAAGAAAAAAAAACACTGTCCTCTTTCATCTCACCATTATCTCCCCCTTCATTCCGTTCCGCTCCCGGACCCCATGTCACCTTCCTTGATACTTCCAGCTCCCTGTCTCCCCCTTCGTGTCCGCAGCAGCTCTATTCGGCACTCGGCGGCAGTTCTGTGTGATAAGGGGGCGGGGATTACACCGCTCCCTCTCATTGGCTGCTGCCCGGCTGGATGATGCTTCACGCTGCGCCCGAAACAAGATGAGGGGAGCAGCGTGAAGCATGTAGGGCCCAGGACGGGAGGAAGAGGTCCCGGGACTGGTAATCAGCGGTCACCAGTGGCCCCTTCCTCCTGTCCTGGGCCCCCTCCAAGTGGCCGAACTCCAGGGCCCGGTCGCGGCCGCAACCTCTGCGACCCTGGTAGTTCCGCCACTGGTGTGTACCATAGCTAATACTGATAAATTAACCATACATTTTCTGAGTACACTTTATCACAACTGTATTTTTGAATGCACTATTTGATTAAAAATGATTGTACTATTATTGTACTCGCCCTGTTTTCTGCCTTTATATTGAACCTGTGGCCAGGCTATGGCCATTTAAACATTTACAAATTCTTAGCAAGCAGTAGATGAGCTTTACAACAAGCCCACAATGACCTCTGTAGCTGTAGTCAATGTGGAGCAATTCATCTTGAAAGTTCACAGCAGAAGCTCTGGAGTCAAGTCCTCCTCCACAGCTCAGCTCCCTCATCCCAGCCCCTTTACCAGGGTTAGGGTTCAGTGAATAACTGCTTGTTTTAGGTGTGGCAGATTAATCATTTGAATTTGATAAGTACAGGTTAAAAACTCTAATTTGTTCTAAAATAGAGAAGCTGAAACTTCCACAGCCAAAGTAACCAACCTAATTTTCAGAACCCATTGACTCTTCTTCAAGAAGTCAAATTTGCCATCAAATTCAAAGGCACATTTCAAGTGAATAAAAAGTAATTTTTGAGTAAACTTTTTTGGAAAAAGTTTTAACATTACAGAACAAGTCCAGTTGAATGTGACTAACTGCTACTAGCTATTTACTATGACCTGAATGAAAAAGAACCTTCACACATATATATATTTATTTTTTAGGTCCTACGGAAATTTGGCATCAACCTTTCTGAGGAAGAGTTCTTCCACATTCTGGGTTACTTTGACAAAGATTTCAAATCCAAAGTCTCTTACAATGACTTTCTCCGTGAGTTCCTGAGATGAGAAAGTGATATGATTTTGTGGCGATGGCGTTTTGTAATGCGTCCTCTTATTTTAATGCTTTGATTAGAACAGGAATAAATATATTTACATGACAGCAAAACTACATTAACATTGGCCACAGCTCATAAACCGCAGACTGATAAATAACGTTCTGCAAAATGAGCGCAGCTTCTGCGTTAAACTCTAATGAAGAGTGTCTTCTTTCATCAACCTAATTACTTTAATAAGACAAAAATAACTAGGGCTCTTTAAAGTTTCCAAATCCAAGATGAATGTCTCCATGGTTAAAAAAAATTGTATACGCTTCCAGCACGCTTCCATTGCAACACATTGCGAAAATAAAAATTCTCCATGTTCATTAATGGATATATGATGGTAATTTTTAGTCATCCGCCATAAGAAAATAATACATAGTGTGTATAAATAAACTTCATTAAATCACCCGTTTTCATTAAACGTTCAGATTTATTATGGATGTTACTTTCTTTTTTTTAATTAGCAAATAAGTAAACCAAAATGTTTATTTTACTACAGCTGAACTCCAGGCATGCAGCTAAATAACATTTGAAATACATATATGTGATATGTCTTACCTACTAAAAGATATGTAACTTTGTTCAGCCTGTCGTGTGATTTGGGCAACCTGCCAGACAACAAAGCTGGACCAGTCACTGTTCCTATCTCTGCTGTAGTTGAGCCGTACAGCTTGACCTGATTGACCCATTGCTGTTTCCACTCCCTCTGCCAGACGAAGTCCTGATGTGCAGGCATTTACAGGACTCTAACATAAAGATCTGGGTACTTGTACTAGCTGTGTATGTATAAATGCTATAACTGGATTAAATGGAGCTCTTTTATACACTATATGGCTAAAGGTTTGTGGACACATGACTTTCACACCTATATATATTGTAGGACACTCCACTCCGAAACAATGCCACTCCACCCTTTGCAGTTAAAACAGCCTCCACTCTTCTGGAAACGTTTTCCACATGATTCCACATTTCTGTTGCTCATTAAGCCAAAACAGCATTTGTGAGGTCAGTCAGGTACGGATGTTGGACAAGAAGACCGGACTCATTCGGCATTCCAGTTATTCCCAAAGGTGTTAAGTAGGGTTGAGGTCAAGGCTCTTCTCAGGCCACTTGAGTTCCTCCATGCTGAACTGATCAAACCATGTATTTATGGAGCTGGCTTGACGTAGACTCATGCTGGATCACAAAAGGACCTTCCCCATACTGTTAGCACAAGGATGAAAGTTTACATTTGTCTAAAATATCTTTTCATGTTGTAGCACTAACAGTGATCTTCACTGGAAATACCTTATCTTAAAGGAGAACTAGGGGGTTAAGGCTTTTCCCCATAGTTCTCCTTAGGGTAACGGGAGGACACAAACTAGCATCCTCCCGTCACCCTAGGCTCAGTATACCGCGAGCTGTAGCTCGCGGTATACTTGGAGGTGTATCCACATACTTATGGCCACATAGGTAGGTGCCATGGTCAGATGTCTGCAATCTTTAGACCATATGGTATGTCTGCTTGTAGTTCAGTTTTGATGGATGCATATGTCTTCTTTTATAACTTTATTTGCAAAACAATTTGTGAGTAAGTGTGCCCATACCATTGGAGAATATTCTGAAAAAAAAATATTTTATTGAAACTTTTTGTTATAAAATGTATGTGTTGAAAACCTTATTTAGTGTTGACAATTGACAGCTTGAAAAGCACAATGATTAAAACAAATCACAATAATTTATTTTTTTACCAAAATAATTAAAACAAAATTTACCAAATCGCTCTTCATTTCTGGTTTTTCCTTCATGTGAAAGTGTGTTCGTGAACAAAAAATTTGATTTTTACAAAGTTGTAATGACATTTTTTAAGATGTTTTCATCAAAAAATAAACAGATAAATGTAACTTAGTGCCAATAATTTAAAATATAATCACCGGGCATCCACAGAGTGAAAGGCAGTATGTGGGAAAAAAATTTGCTTTTGTTAAATGAATCTGCTACAATGTTCCTCCGTCCCATTCCACATTATAATGGAGCATTTTTCTTACAGAATGTTTCATTACAATATAATAGGATCCAAACAGGCTGTGCATCACCCTCTGAAACCCGCTTCATATTTGTCTGGAATCACAAAAATTTATTTACATGCATGAGAGGAAATAATGGACTTGAAATTGAAGTTGTTGAAGCAAGAAATTATCATATGGCTTGTAGTATTATCTTTAACTTGCCTAAATACAGGTATCAGCAATCCTGCAATCCAAAGAGTTTCTCAAGCTCGTCATTTTATCCGAGGACAGCTAATATTTTTATTCCCCTGCCATCCCTACCAGACATTTGGAAATGTGTTATGGTACAAGTTCATTTCCTAATGGTCCTTTTGCAGAAATATTTATTTGTCCGTTTATTTCAGGCCCATTATAAGAACGTTGTATGCAATTACTTATTTTAGCAGAGCGACTAAATTATTGCTTGTTTTGTGAAAATATATATTTTATATATTTGTTTTTTTAATTTTACTTTTTTTCTGTCTGGGTTTTATTTTTCCAATTTATTTTTTATAGTATATTTATAGCTGAGACTTTAAACAATACAGCTGAGAACTGTCTTTAGAAAATTAAAACATGCAATTAACTAGGAACATTTATGTTGGTATGGGTAGCTAGACTAGAATAATATGTTATTACTTCAAAATGAGAGGGTCCAATTTATTTATGTTACTTGTTTATTTATGCAAAAAACTGCAAAACACATTTTTGCTAAACAATAGAACCATGCTTATTAGTCCTTTCCCCTGAGGACCTTATCTATTATCCCTTTTAACAATCATACCTACCTTTACACACTAGGGGTCAATTAGGAAACAGGTGTACCTTTTTAATTAAAAAGTATTCATTACAAAGATTGAGGCCAGTGCAAAAACCTGAAGAGCATATAAACTGCAAATTGATAGTGTTCCTAACGGAAACTGATATCAAGGCTGCAAGCCCATGACTACCTTTAGAGTGAGGCTCAAATAAGTGTTGTTCCTGTTGCATCCATTTGGGAAGAGTCACAACACACACTAAAGGGAATAAATAATTTTGCTTGCCTGGAAAATTCTGGAGTTTGAGCATGTAGCAAAGAAACATATCTGGGCAGGTTTGCTTAGTCCCCAAATTGTAGTACAGGGGTACAGGTACACTTAAGAAGAAGATGGCACATGGACTCATCCACTCATCCACACTCATACACATGTAGATTCACATGCATACACTCTATAGGTTGGACATGATGGACCCGTGTCTTTTTTCAACCTCAAATACTATGTAACTATGTAGTCATTTGGAAAAAGGGCAGGTACACTCCATTTTGTGGACCAGATCTGGAATGCACTGCATTGCGTTTGAACATGTTTTTGCTGTGTTTTTGACACATTCAATTTTAGGTCTTGCTGGGGGATTGCTGTAAGACCTACAGATAGCCCGGAAAAGAGCAGCACAATGCTTGCACATAAGAGGCATGGACTTACCACAGCTGTTCTTTCCAGATCATAGCCAGGGACAACCTGGGCAGTATGCCTCTCCACTTGTCCATCTTCGTATTATATATATCTTCCTTATATTGGCCATGCCTCGGATCATACAGCTCTGGGCAGGCTTCCACAAGTACTACAAAGAATTCAGTGTCCACTTCAGCCATCATGGTTCCTATCTTCACAAATCTCTCTATCCACAAAAGCAGGAAGCCCAGGGGTGATGAGATCATCCAAACCAGCCAAAAAACATTTTTGTTTCTCATCGCGTTGTGTTCCGGTGCATTCTGTGTGCGCTTTTGACGCGTTTGTGTGCGTTCCAGACCAGACAAAATGTGACACGCAGTATTTTTCTGGTCTCGTCTGGAACTGACTGCGATGGTGTGAATGGAGGCCAAGAAGAGCATAGGGAAGCATTGGAATGCATTTTAGGTCCAGAAACAATCTGGTCTGGTCTGGAGGTGGTGTGAATGGGCCCTAAAAGTAAAAGGGATGATATCTGTAAGATCCCTATGAAATGAGCTGAACTTTGGCCTCAGGTAAAATCTATGTTTATGGTGGGTATGGCTTTACTGTGGCACATTTCTATTTAACTCCTATTTCTATATAACTCAATTGTACACAATTCTTATTTAAATTGTGTCTAGATAAAAAAATGAAATAAAATGAAAATCGGAGAATCCTACTGAATACATAAGGCCAAAAAATAAAATATAGAAACAAATAAAATGAGTGATATTCAAATGTAAACTCGTGGTCCTGTGTGCAATAAAAAACTCGAAGTGCATTTAGTGCAATTCATAAAATTGTGCAAATATCCTTCTGTGATAAGCAGTAATGTCCAGTATAATTCAGGAAATTGTGCAAATGTCCATCTGTGATAATTAAATACAGTTCATAATGCAAATGCCCAGCTGTGGAATTCAGTAGTATACCAAGGATTACTGTGCAATACTCTAACATTCTCCCAGGTGTCAAATATGTGCCTGACAACTTCACTGGGTAAACTCACCAGAACAGTTTGACCTTCACCCATTTCAAAAAATATTTCTCTTCTGCTTGATCCCCCCTCCCCCCCTTACAGGATTTGAAACATTTCTAAAAGAAAGGTACTTTTGTACAACACTTTCTGAATGCTTGCCTAGGCAAGAATTCAGTAGGGATATCTAGGTGCCTCCCAGGACCTTTTAGTCACTTACTAGGAGACAATGCTTTACTCAGGTGTGCAAGCACACAGTGAGATTCTGGTCTCTGTCAGGTATTTGGGACCAGGCACAGACCTACAGCACATCTGTGCACACTGGAGATTCATGTGCATGGTCACAGATGCTGTGGGTCTCACTGACCTGTAGTTGGCTTCTTTCTAAACAGTAGTTTACCTTCTTCTGACCTTCTTCATTTCTTTTTTTTAATACAATAAAACAGAAAACATAATGAAACAAGTCAAAAAGCATAGCATAGTCATAGTAAACGGAAAATGTCGTGATAAATACATAAAACAGGCTTAAGTAGTAATAAACAAACAAGTAGGACCATTGGCTACAAAGAACATATAGAGGAAATTACTATAAACCGTCAATAGATGAAACCATTAAACCACCAATAGAGTGCACTACTATAATTCAATTATGGAGATTTAAGCCCGATTAGTGAGCAAAAACAGAGACATAAGTGCTAATAATGCCCATTAGGAGCAGTAGATAACATGAAGAGTGAAGTAAGGAAAAGGGTGATTAAATAGGTATAAACTATAACAGGGCGCATATGCTCTCAACTCAATTCACAGGAGATTCCATCAAACCTGTAGATTCGATAACCTTCTTCATTTCATCAACCTACTTCAACATGGTTTTGCATTCCATTGACTT